TGAAGATTTTAAGGGGCCTTAAAATCTTCATAATTACCCGCCATTTTTTGTCCCCCGATGTCCCGAGTTTTAAGGAGGAGGCCACTGTATGTACAGTAATTTCTATCAAAGCACAGGAATCAAAGTAGCATAGGCTTACATAAACTAGCTGGTTTGCTGCTTCACTTATCTTGTCAGCTCTGAAAATCCAGCTCCTTGTACATTATGAAGCATGTGGTGAGAAAGAGTGTCCAACCCAAATGATAATGGTTTGAATTAATTCTGTAAAACTCTTTATCTGCATTACAACCATACTCTGAGCTGGATCTATTTTTCGATCAATTGCCAAGTTTAAATCATGTTGACCTCGAAACAATGTTACACAAGTTTAATAAACAAAATCACCAAGACTCCTGCACTGTCCAATAATAAAATGTGTCTAAGGCAGCAGATTTGACTGGCATTGCTACATGATTGACAACTTACCCCAAATATTTCTGATGAATTCTAGTGGAGCTCTCGGTGCTTTTTCCTTTGACATGTCTGGGATGACCACTTCTTTGTCCTGATCACATATGAAAACATTATATAAAAATCACAAGGTCATTCAGGGGTAAATGAAAACTTAGACACACACACATATATATATACAGTGGAATCCTGTTATAATGAGAGGGAGGGGACCGGTGCAAAACATCCGTTATAGCAGGATTCTTGTTATAAGGGATCCAGTAATAAATTCAAGGGAAATAGTACAGTAGGCCGAATCTATGAGACTGGTTTTCTGTTTGTTTCTTTTTGTAATCTCCCCTGATGATGACTTGGTTCAAAGTGATCTCCAGGTCTTACTTGATCAAAAATCGAATAAGGTTTCTTTCTCTAGCGCTAGCGATGTTGACAGCTTGGCATTGGTAACCAGAAAGAAAGTTCTCTAGGCTAACTCTCCCGCTGTGTTGACCCGCACCCCACCACACCCTGTGGTGCGTTCCGTCTGCTGGCACACGTCACACATTTGCTCCATCCATCCAAACAGTCACATCGTTGTGACCTCTCCATCTCTGCATAGGAGAAGTGAGAGGCGTGGTTGGCCTAGATAATCTAGACTAGGCTGGCTTATCATGCGATGCGTTCTGCTTGTCTGTGCATACCACATCCTCCCCACTCATTCTCTTCAGCCTTCATTGTTGGCATACGTGGGCTCTCCCATTCTTTCTTTTGCAAGATTTACCAACAAGTTTCTCAACTGGCGAGGTTTTGCATGAATAAATGGCCTATGCGCTGTGCACAGCAGCAGCAATATTCCGATATAACCGACTCATATGTTTGTCTGATTGCGCAATAGCAGTATTTTATTTACAAAGACAAAGAAGGGAAAAAAACGGGGTCTTAGAATAGTGTCTTTATAACAGACTTCTTGTTATTTCAGGACTCATTATAAGTGGATTCCACTGTATCTAGAAGCCTTCAGCTCTATTTGGTTGACCATATCATGACTAACAATACTAACATTGTGATTGGCTAAAAAATTAGATGTCTAAAAAAAGTGCACCCAACTGAGCCAATAAGATATAAGTCATTTATTAATAATTCATGACATGGCTTGACATACAGCTCTAGCATCTGAGCAAGAAATGATGGCAACTTATTAGACTTGATAGTTGTGAGTAAGCACTCTCATGAGATTCTCATCTGCAGATCTCAAATGTCTTGATAGTACATTTGACTATGAAAGGTCTTAAAGAAGATACAGCGGAACTCAGATTCAATGAATTCTTCGGGCCTGGCCTTCAATTTAGTTGAATCTGAGTATTTGTTACGGTAAAAATGAGGTTTTGTGTCGATAATTACAGGCACTGAGCAAGCAATGAGTAATGTATTTGACTTTCTCAATCAAAAGTAGTTTGATTTCAAATGAGAGACATTTTCGTTTCTTTCATACCAAAGAATTGCTTTAAAATACATGTAAACTGAACTCAACCAAGCATAATCGTTTAATTTTAATACTGATACAGGGACACCTACTTCCATGCGAGAAGAATTGATATGTCATGTGCCGGTACAACCTTATATAGAGAGAGATCTGATGGTAAAGAACCAAGTTCGGCGCATAATCACATCATAATTGTTCACACACAAAACAATAACTTCCCATGGATCAACAGAAAAGCACACATATTCAGTCAAGAACAAGCATGCACTATTGCCCTCGGGGCATCTTGACATAAAGACCCCGTTCCCTGATTCACTTGCAGTTCTGGTTTCTAGACAGACGAATCCCCTCCCTGCCATACAGGCACCAAATCCATCCCGGCCCTTTGGCCCAGCAGTACAAACTCTTAGTGTGATGGGGGTACCTGTTGTAGCATTTTTGGCTGAGTTATAATGTTCTTGGTGATATCTCTTGTGTCTTCCGTCAAATGTCTGGATGGGGTATTAAAGAAACTTTTTTGCTATTCTTGGAAAGAAAACCCTGTTTTCAACTGATTGAATCAAATAGTTTATAGATCATTTTGAATTATTTTGACCAGATTTCACACCTAACCAATGAACACCCAGATGGGTTCAGGCGGAGACACTGGTTCAGGTAGCGCCCTCGGTGATGTCAGATGTAGGGAACAAAAGACGCGGGGAGACAACTGCGACCGGCAACGGGAGGCTTACCCCGCCCTCCTCCCACTAGCCTAATTAAAGACACATTAACTGAAGACTCGCGTACTTAGGGCCTGGATGAACACTGAATAAGAGATTTATTTGCAAAAAATATTGTGATATTTAGTTAAGTTTTGGAAAATCCCTTCTCCATTTCAAAGGGTGGCGCCATTTTCGCTTGGAGAGCCACGCCACTGGCTCGAATACTTCGGGTCTAACCCCAATAAGTAATATTAATTAAAGAACGAAAAGATTGCTAAGGTAAAGAGGGGTATTGGGGCTCAAACTGGATTTTAAGACTACCAGATTCTAGATCTAAATGGTCCAACTTTTGTGGAGATATTTAAGAAGATAAAGAGTTGGGGGGGGGGGGTAGAGTCGCTGATTTTTGGGGCTAAAGCCGGAGTGTAGTAGATCTACTGTAATAAAGGAGGTGACCCAAGTTCCCATACACGTAGATCTACCCCAACTCCACGTTTCTCTTAACTTACTGTGCTGTTGATGTTGAAGCATCGCCGCCGATGGTTCTCAACAAAGACACCGCACAGTGGCATCGGGCCGCTCTGTCAGCAGAGGGCAGGTTTTTAAAAATCTCTGATGGAATCAATCAATGAAAGAGGCAGTGAAGCAGCCTGCTGTGGTTAGATTTTGATTACCCATGGTGCAACACCTTTCCGCCTCTCTCACTCTCGCTGTGCGCCATCCCTCTCGCTCACAGCGCGTCAGACTTCGTATCCACACGTGCACCGAAAAGTAATCGTTTAGATGCTCGGAGGAGCCAAAACCCATACTCTATCTATAGTAACCGTTGGGGCCAAAACCGGGCACTCCTGAACAGTTGCGGTCCCGTTAGATCTAGAAATCTAGTACTAGATCACACAAGCAAAGACTACTGACTACTGGATATCAATAGATCTATTGATTTAAATATTAGGTATTGAAGTTTTATCAGTACATCTAGCCTACAAAATGAGCAGTAAAATTTCACTTGTATTTAACAAGCCAAGGGGGGTTTCAGTGATCCCCTGACCACCTAACAAAAACTTTGGGCGTTTGAAGTTTCAGGGGAGCATGCTCACTTGAATTTGTCCATAATTTGATGTTGCAATAGGTTTGATTGGGTATCTCTCCATACGTATCTGCAAGCCCATCAAAAAAGTAATAGTTTAGACTAGAACCGGAAGTAATCGTTGTGGGGTCAAAACGAGTATCCCTTCCCTAGAGGCTAGAATCTACCTGAACGGCGCAATTGTACAGGAGTGCCAAAAACTGGATTATACTGGCTATTGTATAAAAAACGAAGTAACTATTTCTCCGAACGTTCGGAGAAATAGTGCCGATCTTTATTTCTCCGAACGGTTTCTGGCTTCCGGTTTCGTGATTTATTGTGAGAGTTCGGCGCCAACTTTCCTTTTGCCTCTGCCTCTGGTCTGGGAAGGAACACCGCATGGCAAGCCCACCTACAGACAACCTTCAGTAACACCTACCTCACACTCACCACCATCATGCACATATACACACACAACGTATGACGAGCTGAGCTGGGGATTGAGAGACAGTGTGAGTGACAGCAGGTGAAAGAAAGAATGTACGAGTGTATCCACAGGCGTCAGCAACTACAAGACGACGACACCGACCCCTCTGGCCTGGTCCACAGCTCACGAACGAAAGGAATGCGGCTAAATTGTCCATGGTTCGCAGGGTGCTAGGAAATGAGAGAGATTTTCTTTGTGTGTGCCTGGAGGGAGGGGGTGGGGTGTGAAAGTCATGCGGACGGGGATGAGCCGCGGGAGAGAACACAGGAATTGAATGAATAAGTGAAACAAAGAGAGGAACGACTCATGAGCCCTGGAGTGAATGGATCCTGTGTTTCTATTTTTGTATACTTTATAACTTTGAACTGTTACTGAATAAAGGCAGAAATAAAGCCCGAAAAACAAACACACACACACGCTCCTCACTCTCCACTTTTATACTTACACACTTACTACCACACACAGACACACACGCACATGCATACACACACACACACACACACACACACACACACACACACACACACACACACACACACACACACAGGAGCAAATTTTTAGGTCCATGTCTATTTCAATTTTCAAGACCTAGTCTAGAGATTTTTAGATGAGTGTAAAAACGTGAAAAAGAAAGGTTTCACAACAGAATGAAATCAAAATTAGAACAGCCCATAAACAAACACAAAAATTAACAAGGCGTGAGTCCACCTGTCTGACGAAGATTGGCTGTTTTAATCCTAAATGTGCATAATTTTAAAGCAAAGTACAGGATATTACATGTAAATTATTAGCAATGACCACGAAAATCCTTTTTTTGCCAGAAAGTGTTTGCAAATAGGTGCATTTTGTAGCTTTATCTTCACAGAGCATGGAACTTTTTGAATTTTTGAAATCCAAATCCATCAATAAAAAAAAAAGTTACAGATTTTTTAATCAATTAATTTCTGGTACACTTTTATATACTGAAAACCCCCCAAAATATGGGACGTTCTTTGGTGAGTTTTGAGACAACATTCGTCATTACTCGCTCATTTCTCGGAGTATTTAAAAGAAACTTGGCAACCCAGTACATTTTCTAGTGCAGAATCTAGTCCTGCTTTCAGATTTCTCATAGCTATCCTATTTTTTGAGTTATGAAGACGTTTATAGGTAAAAATGTGGCGGTTTTTGGTGCGTTTTGAGACAATATTTGTCATACCTAGCCTATTTCTTGGAATATGTACATGAAACTTGGCAGTCTAGTACATATTTTAATGTAGAATCTAGTCATGCTGTCAGATTTTTAATATCTTTACAGATTTACAAAGATTATCAGTCATATGTTCTCCCAAAGTCATGATATTTGAATGAAACTTGGCAACATAAAAGGTTCCTCCTTGCCAAGCAATGTTCTGGATCAATTTGTCACAAAAATGTAAGTAGAGAGCTACTAATAAATCCAGTTCTGTACTAGTAAAAGCATGCATACTTTGTTATAGAAAATAAGATCGTCTCTGTGTATATCCATTGTTGGACAGTGTCCTATTGTGTGTTAGATTAAGATGCGTTCAGATAATATAGTTTACAAGTCATGGGAATATATTTCGCATGTGTAGGCTACAACTCATACAAAAAATGTAACATATTTACACCCCCCCCCCCCCCCCTTCTCTCTCTCTCTCTCTCTCTCTCACGCGCGCGCACACACACATGCACGCGCGCGCACTCACGCACGCACGAACGATAACAATGTATAAACGGGACTATCTTCCAAGACTGGACTAAATAAGTACCATACTTTTTAATAACAATCTTAATGCCTCACTTTTCCAAACAGAGCACACAGGACGAGTCCAAGTGTGTGCTTTCCCAAGAGGGGGGAATAGGCATTCATAACGCAAACACAATGCCATACCACTTCTCAAGATGTTTGCTTTTCTGTTTCTATTCTTCTGTCATGCAATCAAGCAAATAAAAATGACTACAACTATTGTATTGTGACTAAAATGCAACAAAAACGCAAGTCATCAAGGCCCCCATTTAGTTTTCAAGTATCCTTCCCCCCCTTTCCGGTTCATATAAGCGGGGCCTCGTTTGTAGCGCCCGAGGTGACCGATGGCTGATGACGTCACTCAGTGGAAATTTCCCAGCAGCAGGACGTTCACCCAGTACGCGCAAATGGCAATGTCGCTTTTTCCCTTAGTTACTCCCACATTTTTAAAGATTACGCGAAAACCGCTAAACACAGAAGCTTGAAATTTTAAGGGAATAAAGAAAAATGGTGTACAACGTATCAGTCAGTTTGACAAATCACAGCTCCGAAAAATCTTCAAAGCGCACCACATCAACCACTTTCGCAAACGTTTTCGACTGCTTCTCGGATGGGTACAATGTTGTCAAACTGCATACCCTCATCCGGGGTGAGAATAGAAAAATGATCTACCTCTCACCCCGGGTGAGACTTGCCAGCGTAGGCTATTCTCACCCGGGGCGAAACAAGACCTGCTTTTCCTCATTTTGGAATACTGTCTATCGGTGTGGATGATCAAATTGATAAAAGCCAAGAAAAAATTACGTTATAGCACAAAAGTAAGCTAATTTGATCGTCTTCAAAGATGCTATTATGGCATGGCTATTTCACTGTGTTCGAATCGAGCCGAACTACGCGGGTCGCCATTTTGTTTTGCCCGGAAGTTCTCGTAAGATCTACTCCTCCCCTCTCTCTCTCTCTCTGTCTCTTTCTGAATACTGTCTATCGGTGTGTACGATCAAATTGACCAAAACTAAGTTAAAAAATGATGTCAAAACACAAAAGTAAATTAATTTGGTTGTCTACAAAGATGCTACGGCTATTTAACTTTTCGAATCGAGCCGAACTACGTGGGTCGCCATTTTGTTTTGACCGGAAGTTCTTGCGCTACTCCTCTCTCTGTCTCTTTCTCTCCACTGCCCACAGACAAAATTGTACGCTTTTAGTAGGCTACAGTACAGTTGTAATGGAACGTTTGTTCACGGCACAGAATTCTACAATTAAAAGTGGCTATTCTCACCCGCCCGGAAGTTCTCGCAAGATCTACTCCTCCCCTCTTCTTTCTCTCTCTGTCTCTTTCTGAATACTGTCTATCGGTGTGGACGATCAAATTGACCAAAACAAAGTTAAAAAATGATGTTAAAACACAAAAGTAAATTAATTTGGTTGTCTACAAAGATGCTACGGCTATTTAACTTTTCGAATCGAGCCGAACTACGCGGGTCGCCATTTTGTTTTGCCCGGAAATTCTCGCGCTACTCCTCTCTCTCTTTCTCTCTCTCTCTCCACTGCCCACAGACAAAATTGTACGCTTTTAGTAGGCTACAGTTGTAATGGAACGTTTGTTCACGGCACAGAATTCTACAATTTTTCCTCACAGTGTAGAATTCTATGGTTTAGGGTGAACGCAAAATTTGGTGAACGCGCACCGGGTGAGAATAGCCACAAGACTCGCCTGCGCTATTCTCACTCCGGGTGAGAATAGAAGTGGCCTTTTTCTGTTATCACAGTGTAGAATTCTGTGGTTTAGGGTGAACGCAAAATTTGTTGGCCTAGATCTAGGCTATAACGGTGAACGCGCACCGGGTGAGAATAGCCAAAAGACTAGCCTGCACTATTCTCATCCCGGGTGAGAATAGAGGTGGCCACAAACAAACTCAAACTCAAGACAAGTCCCGAGTCCGAGTCAGTGAGTGGGTTCAAATAGGTGACATAGAATTTCTCCTGTCTCCAGTACTCACCGGGTTTTTCATTAATTTTTCAAGTTTGAGTCTTTGCAGATCAACAGGTGTTTTGATAACACGAACGCTTTCTTTTTCATCCTTTTCATTTTTAGACTCTCCTTTCGATTTGTCAGAGGAAGCAGCCATGTTGTTTTCGTTTGTTTTTGTATGGGGCAGGGGGGGGGGGTAGGCTAGGCCTCTATAGATCTCTTGATTCTAGAGATTCTAGGCCTAAAATGATTTTACTGTGTAAGAGAGGGGTGACAAGGGAAGCAGTTTTGTTTATTAAAAGCTAGGCCTAGGCTAATGATATTTATATCGTAAGGCACAAAACAAACTGTAGGAATGCAGTTAAATTTAAGCTTTGACAAGAGTTGAATCCTAAATTATACTGCATTTTTAATAGGAAAATTTACAATATGCATGAACAATAATAGTAGAATAAGATACATTGTAAAAGAGTACCAACAGTCAAGTATTGGCCTGTGTAGCCAAACTTATAGCCACAGAATTCTGTGCTTATAGCTCATTTATGTTTTTTAAAAATCATTACAAACACCCTGCTGGTAGCGCAGCGCGAAAACTCAAAACCAACCAACACCAACATTGGCAACACATCCGTTACTTGACAACCTACCCGAACAAAACTTACACACCTTCTATTGAACTTTTTGGAGTCTGCTGGTAATTTGTTTTCGACTTTATGTTTACTTAGTGGCCTATTACTACTATTAGATGTATTACTTTGGTTAAGGGTCTTCTTGAGGCTTTCGTAATGTAAAGTTATCGCAGCTTGTGACTGGAGACTTGTGGAGGAAGGAGGAATGTAGATTCTAGAAGACCAGGTAGCCTTTTCTTTTAGTTTTAGCCTACTAGTCTACTTCAAGCCTTTGTGTAGATCTAGAAATCTAGATATCTAGGCCACTACTAAATAGATTGAAAGTGGCTATTCTCACCCGCCCGGAAGTTCTCGCAAGATCAACTCCTCCCCTCTTCTCTCTCTCTCTCTCTCTCTCTGTCTCTTTCTGAATACTGTCTATCGGTGTGGACGATCAAATTGACGAAAACAAAGTTAAAAAATGATGTTAAAACACAAAAGTAAATTAATTTGGTTGTCTACAAAGATGCTACGGCTATTTAACTTTTCGAATCGAGCCGAACTACGCGGGTCGCCATTTTGTTTTGCCCGGAAATTCTCGTGCTACTCCTCTCTCTCTCTCTCTCTCTCTCTCTCTCTCTCTCTCTCTCTCTCTCTCCACTGCCCACAGACAAAATTGTACGTTTTTAGTAGGCTACAGTTGTAATGGAACGTTTGTTCACGGCACAGAATTCTACAATTTTTCTGTTATCACAGTGTAGAATTCTGTGGTTTAGGGTGAAGGCAAAATTTGGTGAACGCGCACCGGGTGAGAATAGCCACAAGACTCGCCTGCACTATTCTCACTCCGGGTGAGAATAGAGGTGGCCAAATAGATTTATCTCTAGATCTCTCTAGATCTAGATCTAATAGATCCAGTGACAGGGCCTAGCAACTTATTCTAGAGGCCACCTCTATTCTCACCCGGGGTGAGAAGAGTGCAGGCGAGTCTTTTGGCTATTCTCACACGGTGTGCATTCACCGTTATAGCCCAGATCTAGGCCAACAAATTTTGCGTTCACGCTAAACCACAGAATTCTACACTGTATTAACAGAAAAATTGTAGACATCTGTGCCGTGAACAAACGTTCCATTACAACTGTAGCCTACTAAAAGCGTACAATTTTGTCTGTGGGCAGTGGAGAGAGAGAGGAGTAGCGCGAGAACTTCCGGGCAAAACAAAATGGCGACCTGCGGAGTTCGGCTCGATTCGAAGAGTTAAATAGCCGTAGCATCTTTGTAGACAACCAAATTAATTTACTTTTTCTTTTGTGTTTTAACATCATTTTTTAACTTTGTTTTGGTCAATTTGATCGTCCACACCGATAGAAGACAGTATTCAGAAAGAGACAGAGAGAGAGAGAGAGAAGAGGGGAGGAGTAGATCTTGCGAGAACTTTCGGGAGGGTGAGAATAGCCACTTTCCTAGATCTATTAACGTTTGATTCCCGGTGAGCTAAGATATCAAACCTAACAACTGCAAAACATTAAATTATGGTAAAATTTAGGGGGGCATGCCCCCCTGAAACCCCCCTTCCTATTTTTATTAGGTCAGGGGGGCAAGCCCCCCTGAAGCCCCCCTACTCTTGTGGCCAAAACCCATGAATAACAATTGCGGGGTGGGAACTACCGAAAAAGCGCCGGTATTTTATTTCGAAGTGACTATTCGGACTCGAGTCCGAATATGAAAAAATGTTATTCGGACTCTGATTCTTGTCCAGCATGACATCACTTCCGACTTCCTGTGACTCGTGACTCCGGCTTCCTGTCCTGCCTCACTCGTGACTCGCTTCAGGCTGGGTAGAGACCGGGATCACTTTGGGCAAAATTGCGTTTTGTGCAGGAGCCGAGTTATTATCTTATGATGAATTTGAGGCCGGCCTGAAAAGTTATAGCGCTTCTATAAATGTTTATTTGTCAAGAGGTCATCAGAAGCAATTAAAGATGGCTCGTTAGCGTGTGTCGGGGTCGGATGGGTGGCCTGCACACGTGTGGCTGTGTGTGTGTCGGGGAGGGGGGTGGGGGGCACTATCGGTCCGGGCGTTGAACGTCGCAAAAGCGTCAGTCTTTTTCCCCCGGCAACTGATCATTATTACAATAATAAGCTAGTCTTGACGTAGATCTACGTAATGAATTGTGCGCTGGTCTATGGAATCAAAAGTTGCCGTATGCTCAGCTCTACACAGCAACATAACTTTTTCTTGGTAAACAATCGAGATGACACAGGCTTGTGTATTTGAACGAATCGGTCTTTTTTTTTACACAGCTCATAATATGCAGGTGCCAGGTGGTCTGCTAATCTTCAGTTTTACCTTTTTCTACAACAAAGAAAGTGGGAAACATGGGGGGGGGGGGGGGGGCGTATCAATGAGGCGGCGGGCATCGTATCGGCAGAAATGGTGTGGGGGAAACTAGAAAATGGCGGAAAATTGGAAGCACTGAACGTTAGATCTATAGAACGAAGACACTTCCTTTTTTCCGGACCGGAGTCCGAATAATATTTTTTCATATATTCGGACTCGAGTCCGAATAAGAATTTTTTTTATTCGGACTTGAGTCCGAATATAAAAAAATGTTATTCGGGCTCGAGTCCGAATAAAGACGGCCATTTTATTTTATAAAGATAAAAAAGGTGTTTTAAAAGTCGTGTGCCTGAATACCTGAACTGAAGCAGAGGTTGTGTAGCCAAGTCTGTCACTGTAGACTATAAGTATAGAGTTTACACTCCTGTAGTATTGTAGTTAGGAGATCATAGCCTAAGTTATAGGCCTACTAGATCAAGATCTAGAGATCTAATTAATAGGGCATTATTTTGCGGAAGTCAGTTAGAATTTTCCTTATCGTTTTCGGCTAACCGTCCGGGAGGACTTCCGTGCCGTAACGAGTGACCAGTATGAGACGGTAGGGGAAGAGATGGGGAAGAGGTAGAGGTTTTTAAGGGTAAGGTAGGGGTCGTGTCAGGGTTGGGAAAGGTTAGATCTGATCTAGAGATCTAGATCTAGATCTAAGTCTCTTCTTATTGGTTAGGGCGGTTGCTCGTATGGAAGTCCTTCCGAATAAGATGTCTGGTTATTCTCACCCCCCTCAAGTGTGCTACACAGTATAATACAGTAGGTCTATTGATCTAGCACAGATACACACAGAACAGCTCAGTGAATAACTTATAACTTATAAAAGTTGTAGAGATAAGTTTCAGGTTTAGTTTTTAAGGGTGACGACAATAATTTCACACCATTGCAGCAAACAACAGTGGAAAAACCCCCACAAAGAACAAAAACAAACCGAACTTCACTAGATCTACAGTTATTGCAAGAACGAAACCGAAATGTCTAGCGCAGAACACTTCTCCTCTAGGCCGGCTACCGGTCGTCACAGTATAGCCTAATTTTAGCTGCTTCTGGGTTTGAACTGCTGTACAGTACTGTTTGCTGCAGATCACACACACATAAAAAGCCACTAAAACTGTCACAAATCAATTATTTTCAAGAAAATTTCAAATTTAACTGTAAAATTATGGGTTAAAACAGGTACCCACCAGTGTTAGAGACCCCCCCTGAAACCCCCTGAAACCCCCCGGTTTTTCCAAAACACCTCTATCTCTATTCAGAGCAATCAGATTTAAAAAACTAGATCTATTAATTTGCGATCCATATGGAAATGAAGTTGATATTCCGTGTTCAGTGCATCAACATTTAGTAGAAAATGGACAACTGGTAGAGCTAAGTGTGTGAGACGGGAGGGCAAGTAAAAAAATTAAACTGATATATTAAATAAAAAAAAAAAAAGAGGCTATGACTAGATCTATGGCAACTGTAATCAGTAGATCTGCATGTAGTTGGCTTGTATTACATGATGAGGAAACATTTCCTGGTTTTGGCCCTGGCCCCAAGGGTACTGAATATATCGATACTGACTCAGAAGGACTTCAGTCGAGTGATCCTATGACTATGAGAGAGAGAAGAATAGAGGGGTAGGGTTTAGGTTAGGGTTAGGTCTCTTCTTTATTGTGTTTGTTGGGGTGGTAGCTCATTACGGAAGTCCTTCCCTGAATTGAATATAAAAAAAAGTAAAGTTGTTCCCGCTTCCGATCTGGACATTGGTGATTGCCTTGTTAGTGAGACAACTTCCTAGGCCTTCGGCATTTGTTGTAGTAGGGTGGCCAGTTCCTTTCCACTCCGCTTTTACTTCCCCAACACGAAGTCAGGTACCCATTACTGCTGGGTGGGCAGGAGGAGGCGGGAAAAATCCATGTCTGAACCAAGGCTTGAACCCGGACTTTGGTATCGATGTTTAATCCGAACGAGAGCGAGAGATGCGCTGCTATTTTTCAGTCAAAGTCAAAATGAGCAGTAGATGTAATATTTTTCTTGTTTTTAACAACGGGAGTTTCAGGGGTGCCAATAAAAACGGGGGTTTAGGGGTTAAAGTAATTTCGATTTGAATCTCTACATCATTTATGATATCATATATAAGCACGTGCTTAGAAAAGTAATCATTTAGAACCAGAGGTAATCGTCAGTGGAGCCAAAACCCATACTCTATTAGTATTAGATATAGTTATCGTTGGGGCCAAAACCAGATTAATTATCCCCAGGAGGCTATTTTAACTAGAATCTAGATCAAGGCTACTTTGTAAAAATTTAAAAAAGAAGAACATTTATTTATCGGTGGTGGTGGGTGCACTACTAGTTAGATCTACTATCTAGTGAAGACTAGTGCCCCAGACCAACAGTGTTCTTCTTATTAATCTCATGTTCTGTGTTGCTCACAGTGCCATCTAGGCCCAGTCAATTTGAACTTTTATTTGATATATTTAAAAAAAATTTTATATGGTGTCAATTTAGTAAAACTAATATTTTAGGCCCTTATTAGTCAATTTCATCAAACTCAAAGTAGTCAAAGTAGTGAGCAGTTTCTCCGCCATGACATTGGTGACTCGGACTGTTACTGTTTCTCCCTTTTCTTTCTTTTCTGTAGGACAGTCACTGTAGACTGTCGTTGTGGTCAGAGGTCATTATTTCACATTTTATTATTTTTTTTTAGTCTTAAGTTCTGAAGGCAAGATTAGTAACCCCCCCCCCCCCCCCCGGGGCAGTGCCAGTGAGTTTGTTTGTTTGTAGTGTCTTTAGGCCATTCCCAAAGGGGGGACATTTCTCGTTCAAGTGCAGTAGAAAATGGGCTGATTCATGTCACGCTCATAACTGCCTGATCTACAACAGAACTGCTGCTTAAAAAAATTTTCTTTCCTAATCCTTACTGTTGTCATTTTCCTCTACTACTTTTTTGTATGTTTGTCACTCTCTTGATGTGACCTGCTATTCCCAGGGTGCCTTGATAGTTAAAGCAGACTTTGTGCTGTTGAAGCTAGAGAGGTGGGCAGAGTGGGTCTTATTCCCTGTGAAGACTTACTCTGTTGACACCCACCCCTTGACGCTCAATGACCTTATGCAGTTGCGAGTGCCGTAAAACCCTCTACTATAATTTAAAAAATAATGAAAGATTAGTAAATGAGTATTCTATACATTAAGTACTTTATAAACTCTATACTATCATGTTGTCAGTTAGGTAACACCCAAATTCAAGCACCAGCACTGATTGGATATATTATATTGGAAATTCTAAAATGAATTGACTAACTTTAAACTTTAAACTTAAAATCTTGAATTTAAATAGTTTTGTTTGTGAATTAAGACAGGCTGAGAATGTTCTTAGATTCAAATTATTCAGCACAGAAGTTCTGTTTCTACTCATCTCAACAGATTAACCAAATTCAAGTTCATACCATGATGCAGTGTCACTCTACACTTTACTATATAAAAAATAATTAACTTAGTCTTAATCATTTTTTATAAATAGGCCTCCCCATCTACTTTTTATAATAATTTGTATTTTCTTAATGAAACGTAAAAACAGCAACTGTTCTACTAAACTACAGCATCATGTCCAGTATTAGCCTTTTGCTGCTTTTTATGGCCTGCAATCGAAGTGCTTCTGATCCGAAAAATTTGCCCACCCCTGCTCTAAATCTTGTTAATAATTTTTTTCATTTAAATGTCAAGTCTTTTCGCTTAAAATAAACTTAATTGCTTTAATTTAGAGAATGATCTACTGGAAGGGGGAGTCAGAAGTGCAGTGGTTATAAATTGCATCTTGAGTGTGTCTTAAATAGTTGTAACAAAACGGTACATTTAATTACAATTAGAAGTGTTGAAGAGCTCTTGAACATTTCATCCTTTTCTTTCTACTGTACTACCCTCTCTCATCCCTTACACATGCAACCTGTCCTCTTTTTAAGGACAGACTAGAATTGAAAAGGAGTGCCATCTTATAATATAATATTTTAGAGTAGTGTATTTGTAGTCATATGTATTTAAATTAGTGTAAAAGCAATGTTTTCATTTCATGCTTTCTTTTTTTTTCTTCCTGATTTAGTGTGGATTTCTCTCCAGTGTTGGCAGCATGGAGGAAGAAATGGCCAATCTCTCCTTGGCCCAAAGCTCTGGTGCGTTGGGATTGTCAGTGGTCCCTCATTGGTCATTGGTTCATGTTTAGACTTGAATTCGCATTATAATTGAATGAAGTACTAAAAATAGACTTTTATGGAAAGATTAGGTTCTCAAGGCTTGACTTTGGTGGAATCTCAACTTGTATTATTATTTATTATGTGACAAAACATTCTGTTTTGCTTTGCAAAATTCTTCAGTATCGTGCAATATTTAGAGAGAGAGAGTGTTGTAGCTCAGTTGCTATTTTATGCTGGACTGTGGTCATGAGTGTACCTGTTTTAAAACCCAACAAACAGGGCGTTCTTGAACATGGTTTGTAAGTTTATTATGGAGTTTCCTTGGCTTTCTTTTCATCAAACATTGACATTAAATTGGTGCTTTTTTTGCCTCGAAAGTCTCTAGAAACCTTACAGTTTTGATGCGGGTGTAACATCTATTATCTATGTGTACGCTCAGAGGGTCTTGACCTGGAGAGACCAAAGTACTTGGGGTCGTTCTGAAATTGAGGTACCAATTTATTTTCTTCAATTTACTTTGTGCAATGCATATTTCACTATCAGGAGAGGTCAAATTTTTGTGAATGATACTGTACAGATAAAACTTAAAATGGCAACATTGTGTGGGGTTAGGGGGTGGGGATGGCAAGCAAAAAGGAATAAAATTAAATGGCTGGCAAAGGGAGCTTATTTCACAGGGTTGAATAGTAACTATTCACATATTCAATATTTTGACGCTTTCTTTTCTCCCTTTACCAGACGCCTCTAGTGTCTCAGCTGCAAGGTCTGATTCTGCGTCCTCGGCAGATGTGGACAACGAAACCCGAGAGAGGTTCATGAGACTGGTGACCAAAGCCCGTCAGTATGCGGAGAATGGAAATATTGAGAGGGCTCTAGCTCTGAATCAGAAGGCCCTCTCGCTACGTTACAGTGACAAGCTGAAGAGGAGAATTGAAAAAATGAAAGTAAGGAGCACAATATTTTAGTCTTGGCACCTGATTGTCTTTGATGTTGTAACTATTGATTTATATCATGTTTGTTAACTATTTTCTGTGGTGTCATTCCCTCTCAGTGTATTTGTTAATAACAGATGTAATGCATAGAAAATATACATGCAACTCCAATTAAATAATCTAATAGTGTTGATAGGAGCGTTAAAAACCCATACCATTTCTCCATTTTGTCAAACATGAAACTGTCATAGTGAAATGTGTGTGTTAATTCAGCTATAAACTCAGTTCATTAACTTATTAGAACTAAAATTTATTGGGGATGGTTTTGAGACACTTTGGTGTGGTCTGTTCCTTGTGCTTCTTTTCAGCGTCACTTTTTCCTGACCTGTTCATGAACTACTTTCATTGGTTTTATTTATTTTCTATTTTCTCTTAGAAATTTCTGGCAGAGCAGGCCCTGGAAGAGGAAGAAGAAGGAGAATCGAACCTGAAATCTCTAGGCCAGGGGTTCATGCTGCACCGTAAAATCCACGGCAAGTTGTACAGTCACCAGAAGGAAGGCGTCTTATGGTTCTGGTCTCTTCATGCCAAGGGAAAAGGTGGCATCCTGGCAGATGATATGGGGTAAGTGGTAGTGACGAGTTTCAAAACGATAAATGTGAAATTTCTATACAATGTTGTGACAAAATGTCTTGCTTTGAAATATATATATTTCAAAATATGATCTGAGCATTTGTTGCTTTATTTTTTTTCTTTTCAGGATTACAAATATGTTTTCAGAATTGTTTTTAACCAGAGGATGACAGCTCAAAGCTGGGGTATTTTTAGCTTTCTACCTCTAATAAATTTCCCTTAGTCTGTACAGTTACATGAAAAGTGATGGCTCCAGCCCATGTTTGATTAGTGGACATTGTGTAAGTTCCTGTTATAATCCCAATTTAGTTCTTTGAGAGATGTTGCTGTTATAGCACCTTCTTGCTGTGAACCAGAATTCAATTAATTAAATATACTCCTGCCTAGAAAGTTTTGTAAATTTGTAAATCTTTATGTATGGCAGCCTCATAATAAAAGTACAGATCACTCGAACCCTGCAGCATAAATTTTCTGTCACAATTCTTCGTTACTATTCTCCGTTACAATTGTGTGTCTTTTTCTCCAGTCTGGGTAAGACTATCCAGGTGATTGCCTTTTTGGCCGGAATGTTCGACATGGAAAAGATCAAGTCAGTGCTGATTGTTGTACCTCTGAGTGTTCTGCCCAACTGGGCCAATGAGTTTGCTGCCTGGTGAGAAGTAGTTCCTTCCCCTGACTTGTGTGTGTGCTGTATGGTGAGGGGATTAATGACTTGCTTTAAAGGCTTTTGCTGAATGAACCGATACTGTTTCTGACTTTTTGGTGAAACTTTACTTTGAAGCACATTTCAGTGTTAAATGAATCTCCATGTTTACAGCACAATTCTTTATGGTTGATTTTTATTATTAATTTATTTGCTTTGTTAAAGACTATTTCCAGCTGGAATGCACTTTGATTCCCAGACCAGCTCCATTACCCAAGTTGCCAGCCTGGCAGTGAAGGGGTTATGGTCTGTGCCTAGTAAGAACAGACTTTTCTTAATTGGTTGTTGTTTCTGCGATATAGAAAAAATCGTTTAAGATGATAAGTCCTAATTTTTCTTTTCAATGGGCAAACAGTCCTTATCCGTTACTGTGGAAATATAGTTCTTATCCGCTATTACTTAAATGTAGTCGTTATTTGTTATTGTGGAAATGTAGCCCTTATCTATCCTGCTGGCTTAGTATAACCTGCAACCCACTCCCCGGTTATTATACATGTAGCCCCCCCCCCCCACCCCGTACCTTTCAGGACTCCTGGTATCAACATCACCCAGTTCCATGGCAGCTCCTTGAAGCAGTGTGAGAGAGGTTTAGCCCGTGTCCGCTCACGGGGAGGTGTGGTCCTCACGACATACGGACTTATCGTCACCAGAGACATTTTCACTACTCTCACCTGGGTATGCTTCTGTCTCTTCATAGAACCTTCGGGGTGCAATCTTTCCATATATTGGTAGAATTATAGAAGTTTCTGATATTTCCGTTTCTTGTTTTATGCCTTTAAAAAAATGTGTATAATTAGAATATCCTTTTTATTTGATAAAATCTATCGTATGAGTTTAAACTTATCATACTGGTTCTTTTTTTCTTGTCTTAATAATGGGGAAAGGTTTGGGGAGGTGGAGTGTGATCATTGCACTTTTACTCGGGAGTGTTATGTAAAATGAGTTTTTAATGTGTTTTCAGGATTATGTGATCCTTGATGAAGGGCATCGCATAAAAAATCCCACTAAGACATCTAAAAGCATGCACCGTGTTCCTGCAAAGAACCGCATCATCCTCACGGGAACCCCAGTGCAGAACAATCTAAAGGTCAGTCTGCCCTCATGAGTGATTAGGTACCCAAAACAATACATGCTATGAACTAAGACGAAAACAACCAACTTGTGTACCGCACACTCACTTGACCTTATTCAGTTGTGAGCGTCATAAAAGTTTTACAGAGTGGCTGCTTAGTGAAAACCAGTGTTCCTTTTACCCAGTGCCAATTATTGCTGAAAGTTTTGTCAAATCTCTATTTTATGTATTTGTTACATTTGTGGGGTGGTGCTAGCCAGTGCTCACTATCTCAGACCTCTGCTTTATTTCATCAAATTTGACCCCGAAGTCCATTGAGGCTGATCACATTCCTCTTTGAAACAAAAGATCTGCTGACCCGGCAATGAATATTAGCCTTCTGATTTGTGAGGAAGAAAATAAAATGTTTGAATTTGGAATATTTTATCAAATTGTGCCAAAATGGTAGCTTTTGTCCCTCCACGAAGGAAAAAACCTGGCTGCCCTCAAATGTGTCAAATGGAAATTTGATAAAACTTTCTGCTGTGTAAACTGGTTATTAGCAACAAGTTCTGTGGCAACTTGAAAACTCTTCGACAAGCCAGTGCATTTGTGAAGATGTCTGATGACTCCCTGTTTTTTTTTCCTGAATTTTCCAACTATCTGAATAGATGAAATTTGTTCACCATTGGTCTTTTTTCCCCCTATGACTGCCTCTGTTGCTATGCTAAGTTGGTTGGTTTGTGCCCAAGTGTAGGTATGGTATGGGTCTAAGGCCCTTTCAGCACTCAGATGATACAAGAGGCATGACCTCCGAATTTGATGTCCTCCTCCAATAGCCTTGAAAACTCGACACAACCAAAGCTCAAAGACTACCTTTTGGGGATTCGAACTAGGATAGTCCATACTATACCAAAAGAGCTATCAGCTCGTCCTTACTTTGGTGTGGTTTGTTCTTTCTACTTTAGGTGGTGTCGGTAGCCTTGTGGTCAGGCAACCGGACCTTTAATCGTGAGATTGCGAGTTCGGGGCTTTGAGCCTCAGCTGGGCCCGGTGTTGAGTCCTTGGGAGAAGCGCTTTTCACAAATTTCCTACTTGGCTCCGTCCTTTCTGAGATGGACGTTGAGCTCAGAGGTCCGTTGTCTTGAATAACCTAATAGTGTTGATACAGGTGTTAAACCTATACCATTTCACATATTTTTCCTTCTTACTTCTTTTCTCTTTTTCTGTCATCATCAAACTTGGTGGTTATTTATTTTTAAAAAATTTGTTGTTGTTGTTGTTTGTTATAAAATGAGGTTGTGGTCGTGCTGATGTTTGTATATGTACACTTCTGCTCCACTTGTTGCAGGAATTGTGGGCTCTGTTCGACTATGTGCATCAAGGCTCCTTACTGGGCACTATGAGAACCTTCAAGATGGAGTTTGAATCGCCGATCATAAGGGTACAGTTGCTTTGTAATAATAATTGTATTAATAATAATTTTACCAGTATATACTACATGTTTACATATTAGACAATAATTCACCTGTACAAATGACGACTTCCCATTTCTCCTTTGGGGCTTTTTATAAACATTATAATGACAATGATGACAGTGTGTAAGACGTCCACCTACCTAAAATGACCACTTTTCCCCTTGAAAATGGGTGGCAGTCTAAGACAATTTTGACTCTATTTGATTATGTACTTTCTCACAAAGAAGATGATCCTAAGACAGAATGTATAGACTATGTGTGTTTGTATCACTGTGCCATCTCCCTCTACCCACCTCTACTCCCTCCCCCCATCTCCCTTCCCCTTCTCTGTCCCACTCACCCCTCCTTCCTCCCTCTTTTCACCCCTCTCCCCCTCCCCCCCACCCCACCCCACCCCACCTCCCTCCACTCCAGGCCCGTGAGCGAGATGCGTCGGGCGTGGAGAAGCGACTAGGTCAGGAGATGGCCGAGGCTCTCAAGTCCATCATCCAGCCATACTTCCTGAGACGCACCAAGGCTCAAGTGGCACAGGAGAACGAGCAGGAAGGGGGTGGGGACTCGCTGAAGTACGCAAAATTTGTTTGGTCTTTTGCGTAATTGTTGGGCTTCTACCTACAATTTATGTCCTGTTCGTTAGTTTGTTTTTATTTTTCATTTTTTTTTTTTTTCAAACTTGAGGTGTATTTTTTATGTTCGCTGAGTGGTTGGCGGGTGCTCTGATGTGGTTTGCTTCTTCTTTCTTATCAAACGTCTATCGTCTTTATCTCCCTTCCTTTTTTGTGTTTGTTACTCTCTTGTAACACCTCTAATCTTCGGCACTTATACGACCTTGTTTTGTTGCAAGTGCCGTAAAACACTTAACCAAAAAAAAAATTATGTTCGCTTCTTGTTCATTCTCATTATTACTTGAGAATGAGATGCAGCAAAAATAGATTCAAGGCTTTCTAAAATCAGTGACAATGATTTTGTCTCCGACTCATGCAAACTTCCAATCAAGTGGAAATATTTCTAGATTTCCTCTTTGAGAATCACAATTTTAATTTTTTTTAAATTTTCGTGTTATTTATCTCAGATGGAGGAAAAGAGAAAAGTAATTGCTAGATGTGCAGTAAAATGTTTCAGTTATTTTCCTGGTTCGCTGTTTACAAATCAACGACAACAACAGCAACAGCAACATCGACAGCGCTGTGAAAGTTTTCCTCACGCTTATGAATATATTGTATGTCCTCCTTGTTCAGAATGCACACATGAGAGGGAGAGAAAGAGAGCCATTGTTTTTTATGTGGATAATTTTACTTTAGTTGAATAAATGTTTATATTCGTACGGTATTTCCTCTATAGTGTCTATTGAGCATTCACAGAGCGAAAGTGCATCTTAAAAATGGGAGTTCCTTATAATGTCGTTATTGTTTTTCCACAGAATGCCATCAATGACTCGCAAAAATGACCTGGTGATTTGGCTTCATCTGACGGATACACAGCAACAGATATATAACGACTTCATCTCTTTGGACCATGTGAAAGAGGTATGTACCAAGTAACCTTAGAAAAAAATAGGTCTGTTTCTGAGAGAAGTTAAGTTTTATTTTTTAAATTCTGGAATGGGCATTGTTGGAATGTTTCTTTCCTCAGCCTGACATCCTAATATGGATCGAGTATTACACATCTCTTCACCGTTCTTTGCAGATAAAGATGTGTTTATTTCCCCTTTGTGGAAGTTTGTTTTGTCAACTTTACTGTCTGTCTTTCTGCAAGCATGTCTACTACTCAGCATCTACTACTCAGCCACTGTTGGTCTTGACAGGCAGTATTGAAGCTGCCTGCCTTCTGAATGATATAAACTGGGTCAGTATGGGTGTAAAACATTTGCATTGAAATGAGATAATGAATAATTAGCCTCTGACACGTGTGCGTTCTCATTGCCAATCACCCGCTTGTGGTTGAAAATGAGAACGCACACGTGTCACCCACAAGCGGGTGATTGGCAGGTCTTGAATTAGGTGTTCAGGAGGGCAGGCAAAAATTTAAAATCAGAGGGCACCGAGGCAATTTGCTAGGGCTCCATAGCAAAAATTAAAGGGGATTATTTTGTTGATTACAGTTGGTAATACTTGACCGTGCATCACAACGTTTATATAGATAACAATACGGTTTACTCTTGCTCTCTACAAAAGTAAAAGTAAATCACAGTAAAATCACCCTGCGGGGCGGTGCCACTGACTGAAGTGTCTTTAGGCCAATCCCAAAGGGGTGGGGACATTTCTCGTTCATGCACAGTAGAATTGTAAATGGGCTGATTCATCAATGTCACGCTCATAACTGTCCCTGATCTACAACAGGAAACTGCTGTTTTTTCTTTCCTAATTCTTAATATTGTCATTTTTCCTTTACTTCTTTGGTATGTTTGTCACACTCTTGTGACCTGCTATTTCCGGGGTGCCTTGAAAGTCGAAACAGACTTTGTGCTGTTGAAGCTAGAGAGGTGAGCAGAGTAAGCCTGATTCCCTGTGAAGACTTCTCTGTTGACATCCACCCCTTGGCACTCATTTGACCTTATGCAGTTGCGAGTGCCGTAAAACCTCTAGTAAATTACACCCCCCCCCCCCCAGTAAAATCACATCAAAACAAAAGCACGAAAAATCAGTTCTAAATCAAATAATGATCACGATTACATCTCACTTTTAAATGCCTTTATGACTACCTCTTATTGACTGGATAAATATGCATGAGAACGTGACAGTTGACAATAGGGCATGATAGAAAACAGTAATAAGTATGACCAATTAGGTAAGCCATTAATTATTAATGAGATTCAAACAGAGTAGTTTACAGGCAGTGTAGTGATAAAATAAAAATAAATCATGGTACATAAATGAAAACGAATTTTGAACTTGTATGAAAAAGAAAATTAGTAGTGAAAACAACTTAGAACTTGTATGGAAAAAAAGAATGAATAACTAAAAACTGCTATTTAGCAGTTAAACAGTATGAGGTTATGACTTTGATAGTTGAAAACAAGTTTTGAAAATACAAGTTTTTAAGTATGTTATTAAAAAAAGACCTAAACGATCAGCCTTCCCTATTATGACATATGATTTGATCAGAATATTGAAAATATGTTGGCACACACAATATCTATAGATAAAGACTGGCTTGCTGTTTGTCCCTTATGGTAAAAAACAAGTGATTTTAATAAAAAGTATCATCAGAGATGATTTCTGAGAATAATGCTGTTTTATCTGGACGTCTATTTGTGAGACGCATCTCTTGCCACTTGGCAATGCAGGGTTCTGGATTTGATTCTTTGATCTCAGGACCATTGGGACATATAAGCATGATCTTTTCTAGCATATCTCTGGAAAGCGAATGCCTCCAGTCACCAAGGATGCGCCTCATCAAAGAGAACTGTCTTTCTGCCTTGGCTGTGGATGATGGCAAAACAGATTAAATGAGACAGATTGGGAAATTTCCTTTGTTTTTTCAGGATTGCTCTCATTCAGAGGTATTAAGCCCTGACTTTCAGAGAGAAACATGAGCCACTCTTTCTTTATTTTCAGTGCTGCACATCCTTGGTGTTGAAGCACAGTCTCATAATGAGCTATCAAGTCATTCATCTGTGTCTCCCCATATTCTTTCAGCCCATCCATTTTGTCAATTTCAGGCACACTTGTCCGGTCAAATGTCCTTGCACTCTTTCAAAACTTTTATCTTCTGATGTGCCAGAAAATCTCTCTTCCAAGCACAGCAACAGCTTATCCAGCACATCTTTCTTGCTTTCTTTGTAATCATCACACTTGCACTTTCTCTCACATCTGCAGTCTTCTTTTTCATCCAGAGCTTTTTTTCAGACACTGCTGAGGTTTGGTTATCACTGTTGTGACTGTTTGCACTAGCCATGACAAAATGGACACAATTGTCAAGCTGAGCTGTGTCTGATTGAAACTTTGATGAAATTTCAACAAATAAAAAAAATTCCCACCCCCCATTCCGGAATCCCATACTTTGCGGCATTCAGACTTTGAATGAACTTTGGTGATCCTAACAACGGGTGCTTGCACGATACCGTATCTTGTGATTAAGTTGTGATGTGAACGTGCAGATTCACTGACCGGTCACGGTGGTGAACCCGACAAGACGCTTGTATAACTTTCTTTTCTTTTTTTTCCCCACTAGTGACAAGAAAAGGACAAATATTGATTTGTTGGCATGGTGTCACATTTTTAAAAAACAAAAAACAAGGGCTAGGCAAAAATTGCTGCGGCTGACCCTTTGATTTTAAAGGCATTACAGCAAATTGCAAAGGCACCAAGGCAAATTGCTGCGGTGCCGCGGTCTATTTCAAGCCCTGGATTGGCTTGTGCTCTGGTGTGGTTTGCTCTTTCTTTCCTACCAAATGTCTATCATCCTGTTCTCACCTTCTTTTTTTGTGAGTTACTCTCTTGTAATACCTCTTATCTTCGGCACTTATATGACGCTTATAAGGACAAAAATGTTTTTTCATTCTAGTTGCTGATGACAAAGAAGTCTCCCTTAGTGGCATTGACAGTTCTAAAAAAAATTTGTGACCACCCTCGGTTGCTCAGCAAACGAGCCTGCCTGCAGTTGGGGCTGGATGGAGATAGGTCAGTATACATTGCAGTCACTCTCTCTCTCTGTCTCTCTGTCTCTCTGTCTCTCTGTCTCTCTGTCTCTCTCTCTCTCTCTCTCTCTCTCTCTCTCTCTCTCTCTCTCTCTCTCTGCCATTGTGTTTGCATTTGTGTCATCATAGTTATGTCCGAAACAAAGGAAAAACTGTCCGGTTTTCATATCTTAATTTCTTTTATTAAAAATTTGGGCAAACGAAGATTCAGTTTGACTCACAATGCATGTTAATGATGAAAGAATACCACTTTATTCACATTTTACTATGAATCTCTGCAAAATATCTAATATCTTTCGAACATAACCATGATGACACAAAGTGAAAAATACCCTGAAGAGTAATTTTATGGAACATAAAATTATTTTAACACTTTTTTCATTTCTCTAATTTTCAAACATAAGCTTGAAGATCATATAAAATCACAGAAACAAGAAGTTCTGAATGTCTTTGTGTTCGCATTGCGTCATCATAGTTATGTCCGAATGAAATGAAAAACTTTCCATTTTCATATTTTAATTCTTTTTTGGGAAATTTTGGCAGACAAAGATTCAGGACATTCAGTTTGACTCATAATGCATGCTAATGGTGAAAAAAATGCGACTTAATTCACATTTTACTATGACTGTGCAAAATACCAAATATCTTTCAAACATAACCACGATGACACATGTCACATATTATAGTGAATAAATATTTGTCATCATTTTGGAACATATCAATTTACATCAAAGTTTCCCCTTTCGTTGACGTCTAGACAAGCATGGGTGGTGACACCTAGATCTATCACTACTTGATCACTCGAACTCAGTGCGATGTTATTCATTGCTTGGTTTGAATTTTCGAACGTAACATGTTAAGATTTGATGATGACATTAAGAAAACTTAAATGGATTCGTCTCATCCATCGTTATTTTTCTCGCTGTCTTACAACGTATAACAATACGCTTTGAATGGATCGACTGGAACAATGCATGTACCTCCTTCCCGGTTATTTGTTGTTTTCTGATTGGTTCTTTTGAATATAATTTATGATGACAGAGCACGACGCCTGGCGGGATTTCCGTTTTCTGCAAAATTACGTACGATCACAGCCTTGGAATCAATCAGGGCAGAGAGTAAACATTGAACGATATTATGCTCATTCCAGGGCCCCAAAATGGCCGATAGACATGAAGTCATGGGAAATCGAAGTTGCCTTGCGAAATGACTACACGAGTTATGCTCGAAAATGAAAGTCTAGAAGGCTCACAAAGAAAAAACAGCTTACAGATATCATTATTCCTTATATAGCACCACAAATAATGTAGTTATAGTAGTAAAAGTGTAGAAGGATGAGTTTTTTCAGCAATTATTTCATTGTTGAACTTGACGACAGAAAAAGTACGAACTCGACGTGTCACGTTTTGCATTCTAAAAATGCATCGAATTCAGAACTAAATATATTTTTAAAGATTTCTTCTGATGACCTGACTGCTATTTCTATGCTCCTATAGCTGAAACACCATATTAAGCTTGATATATACAATTTTCAAAGCTGTAGCACCATTTTTTTTTGGAATTGGAAAGGATTTTGTAAGGTACAGTAGTCTCCGCCTAAGATCACGCTGTTTTGGAAAAACAGATTTTTTACTATATAATAGTCGCCCCTAAGATCTTGCACTGAAGGAGCTACATTCGGCTAAGATCCCGCTTTTCAGGTCATAATTAAAATTTGGTTATTTTGTACTTCGTTTAATTAATAAAGAAAAAAGAATAAGAAACCTGGGCGCCCTCAGCTCATCAACCAAGTAACGAAAATGTGCGATCATTGTACGGTCTGTCGCATCACGGATCATTCACTCTCATGAATGCGATCACACCTCTGTTGTAAATCTCGATAAGCAGTTACAATGTGTGCCCCAGACGAGATCACACCAAGGTGTGAACTCATCAATGCCTTGCTTTCCCTGAACACCTGAGCTGTCGCCTGATCTTACATCACACACTAAGTGGGGAGGGCCTACAAGCAAGCGTCAGCCTGCATTCTATCAAACAGTGAACTCGTCGAGGCTTACATTTTCCCGACCATCGCTCTCGTCTTTTAGTTTTGCGCTCTAACTTCCGAGACACACGAGCGCCCATACTCGTGGACTGTCGGATCGCCTCTGCGTAATGGGGTCATCTGCTGGCAGTGAACCTGCCTTTCATTTTTTTTAAAAATTGGTCGGTGTGGTCACAGCACAATACAACAATTTATGATGCATCATGACATGGACGGGGAACTCCGTTAAAGAAAGTAATTCATTTTTGGTGGGGTGGCACTGCTTGAAGCCAACTGGTTCCCACTTGACAATATTTTTTTTAAAGCCATGCCCCCAAACAACAACAAAAGTGAAAAACCGACTTCTGAAAACTACTCTTAGTGCCCAGGAGTCACGTCAGTTCATTTTAAAGTAAGGGAAGATCATTGTACAGATTATTGGCCTGACCATGAGTTACTGTGGATTCCTCCCCCTGGCCATTTGAGTAAGATCCTGGTTCACATATGGTCCCGCATTTTCCTTGCTCCCGAGCACCGGGATTTTAAGCTGAGACTACTGTGTATATGATATATCCCCACCTATTGGCAAAGGCTCATATACAAATAACCTTCTTGTTTTTCAAGTGCTGTAAAACTCTTTCTAAAACTAAACTAAATTTTTAATGTTTTTTCTCTTCTGTTTTTTGTTTAATCTGGCATTCTCCTTTGATGAATACGTTCTTGGAATGTTTCTTTTTGACTTTTGACTTTTCTTTTTGGTAAACTATGTTTAATTTTTCTCTTGGTTTTATTCCTTTGTGCACTCAGCTATGATGAAGAGGCCCTGGAACAGCCATCGGCGTATGAAAGCGCAGCCAATCAAATTGACATGATCCCTGATGAAGTTCTGGTGGGTGAGTCGGGAAAGATGCAGGTTCTTGTCGACCTTGTGGATCGGCTGCGAGAAGAGGGCCACCGCACTCTGATCTTCTCCCAGTCTCGCAAGTTGCTGGACATCATTTCCAAAGTGGTCAAGAACAGGGTGAGTTCCATGGTTATAAGTTAAAACCTTATTAAAACTAAAATGCCTTTTTTGTGGGTGGTTGGTGAGTGTTCTGGTGTGGTGTGCTCCTTCTTTCCTGTCAAACATTTATCGCCCTTGTCCCTCCTCCTTTTTTGTATTTTTTAACTCTCTTGTAACACCTCTAATCTCCGGCACTTATTTATGACTTTATTGTGTTGCAGGTTCCATAAAACTCTTACTAAAACTAAATGAAATGACATTTTCCTCAGGGTCACAAAGTGGCTCGTCTCGACGGAAAAGTCACCCAGATGTCGGACAGAGATGCAATTGTGAAGAAATTTCAAAACGATCCGTCGTACACCATTTTCCTGCTCACTGTTCAAGTGAGTGATATTTCTTCAAGTGTCATGTATGCTCACCCTGCTAGTCAAGATTTAATAGAGCTAAGCATTTTTCTCGCAACAACAGTATTGTCTTGTCTAGATATCCGTCCATGGGTATGGTTCTTGTTTATCAGATGGGAATTTTCTTGTAACAGCTTATCAAGGCCAGGCACTTTGAATTGTGAGTCCAGTTCTACCGTAAACACAAAATTGTCTTTAATTGCAGATTTCTTATTTTTTCTGGCGCGTATTCGGTGGGTGCTCTGGTGTGGTTTGCTCCTTCTTTCCTATCAAACATCTATCGTCCTTATCTCCCCTCCTTCTTTTTTGTGTTTGTTTCTCTCTTGTTACACCTCTATTATTTGACACTTATATGACCTTATTGTGTTGCAAGTGCTGTAAAACTCTAACTACTTATTTTTGCCTCCTGTTGTATTGTGATTTTTTTGGTTATCAAGATTGAAATGATCTAGTTGGTTAATGATAGTAAGTCATTTAGGCAGTACAACATCCCAGCAAATAGTCACAGATACTTGATAAGATAACTTCAACGTTAAAAAACTCCCATCTTCTGTGTGCAGCAGCGTAGAGCTTACACTTAACTCCACAAATGTAGGCACTTAATCTGTGTTCAGTAAGGCACCATTTACTAATGGCATTAAGTAGTATCTTTGTAATCATCCTTGAGTTGTTTGGGTTTTTTTCTGTTTGAATGCAGCGTATTTGAAGGATTAATTATGATTGGCTCTTTCATTTGTTTGTGCACAGGTTGGTGGGGTCGGTCTCACCATCACAGCTGCTGATCGGGTCATTATCTGTAAGTAACTCCCATGTTCTTCCAAGTCTGCTGCAAAAAAGTAATTAACATTAATAATGTAGACCTGTCCTGTCAGTTCATCACTACTAGTGAATCTACTAAAACTATTAAAAACTAAAACTCTAAGGTATCGAATAGGGGTCCTCCCCCTGCCCTGCTTATTAATTTTCAGTCCGTTTTTTTTGTGTGCGCACCCCTTGCTTCTTATTCCATACCATACCCCCGGTTTATTATTTTCCGGCTTGCCACGACTGATGATCATTTAAAACATTATATATATCTAGAACCTAGATATATCTGAATGAAACTCTTTTTTTGTTGTAAATGACAAAATATCCTCAGTATTAGTACCGGTACCAGGTTGGCTACCACAATTTTGTGCATTTTAAAAACTTTTGTACTTTGGTTTATATTTTTTAATGAAACTGGTTTGTTCCTTAAAGCGAAAAGTTGTCACAGTCATAGTAACTTACTAAAATCACTAAAATTTCATGATCTCTTGTTCTTTTATTCACTGAAGGAGAAATAAAACAGATTTGTTCCTACTAGTCTGTCCTCAGAGGAAGTTACATTTGAAAAGAGCAAAAGTTGCATTTGAAAATAGCGAAAGTCGCAAAAAGTTGCAAGAAAAATTAGCAAAAGTTGCAAGTTGCAAGACGTGTATAGCTTAAAAAAATGTCATGGAATTATTGGAATACATTGTTGGTATTCTCATTGCAGTCAAAGTAACCAACATAAGATATCTAGATCAAAATCAGACGTTAAATGTGAATGTCTACCAAAAAACCCCCCCCAAAAAACTGCTTTGAGGTTGCATGGTGTACAAAAACAGTTTGTCCCCTGACACATGCGTCAGGTCTTCTTGCTGACGTTGGGCAGGAGTGACCACCTCAGTTTGGGGCTGTTCAAATACAATCTTACACCTTTTAGCTACTTCCCCCCCCCCAAAAAAAAATCCTGTAATATTACATTATTCGCTTATAATAATACAATATGATATATGCGCAAATCCGTGTTACAATCATTGTTCTGTGCGCTTTACTTTTACCTAATATAATAGTTTTCATGAAAAACATGCAACAATGCTGTGCTTACCGCTCTGACTCTAAGTGTATAGTATAGTTACTCTTTTTGTAATGATTAATGTGTTATTTTTAAAAATTGTCATAAATTATTTTCCTTGTTATATTAACGTGTAATATTACATTGGTTCGAGACCCCTTCTTACTCTTTTCTTCCCCCCCCCCCCCCTTTCCAGGCGTAAGATTATATTTGCACGTCCCCTTTAGGGGTTTTCTGGATGAATCTACCCTCCTACTCCTAGCCTAAGATTTAAAGTCTTTCACAAATTTTTATACTAGATCTAGATCTATTTACCTGGTGCTACAGAACCAAGCAAGCAAAGTAATCAGACAATCGTGTTTACGATTGATTTAGGCTACTCTAGATCTAGCAAGAAGACAGATGATTCAGTCCAGACAAGACTATTGGGGGCTCGGGTCGGTTTGCTTGCCAGATTGGTGGCGCAAAGCGGCTATCGTAGCACAAGTCGATCACCCCCGACTCGTTGCCTCAAAAACAGACGAGTTGTTTTCAGGCGACGAGTCGGGCGATCATCCCGACCCGACCCGATCACATCCGCACTGGGCACTAGTACAAAGGAAGTGGTAGATTTATTTCAGGTAGGCCTACGAATTGTCCCTCTTGGCGTTGTTATTTTTAGTCATGGAAGAAAGTTTCGGTTATTTTTAACCAAATTTTATCTTTATTTTTCCTACTTTTGCAGAAAATTGGCTAAAATTGGCAAATTCACGAAAATGGCAAAAGTTGCGCGTGCAAACTGCGGGCGCGTATTTCTCTGAGGACAGACTAGTATAGGGGTATGAGGTTGAATGTCGCCCCTCCCACTAAAAAAAAAATTCCACTCCCCCTCCTCCCGTTTATTCCATACCTTAGAGTAGCCTGTCCATATGAAGGTAAAGGTACTGACACCCTTACCAGACCAAACCCAAAAAACTAGATAACTTTTGGATTGATTTCTTGTGGCCTTTATCTATACAGCAACCACAGAGTATTCACCCTTCTAAAGTAAAGATTTTATATGAGGGACGTCCAGAAAGTAAGTACCATTTTTTGTTGATGACCTGGTCCTTTTGCACACTGGACACTCAACAACAATGAGCAGACGAAGACTACAAGATGGATCTAAATTCCCTAGGAACCTATTGCCGTTTATGGAAGATGAAAGTAAATTGCGAAAAAACTGTATACTGTTTTTACGAGAAGCTATAGCCTTGCAAATGCAGAAATCCCTCTCAAACCAACTTGAAAAAGGAGAATAAGGGTAGAACCATATTAACGCCCGACACCGACAGACAGACCAGACCCGCCGTTTTCCGTCGAGTGCCGCCACCATATTAACACTGGAGTTTGGCGGTCAGACACCGCCGTCTTCCAAATATGGCGTGTGGTAGAAGAAAATTTTTTTTGATGTTGCTGCTTTTGAGAGGCAGACAAGAAAAGGAAAAAAACCAAGACAAGAAGATTTTCAGTGCATCCCATCCAAAGAAAGCGTGATACACAAAGTGAATTTCATCATTTGTTTCCACTGTTGTTGGAAGATAGTGAAATTTCCAACAATACTATCGCTTGAAACATAGCAGTTTCAATGAACTGCTAGAGATATATTATGCAGAGCTGACTAGGGGAGTAGGGCTGCTAGAATTCTGTGTAGTGTCATTGAGGCGGGAAAGGGGACACAACTATGCAGAGATAACATCATTAAAATTACCTCCCATTTCGCCCGACGGACCGTCTTGGATAGAACATGTTTTATCGGAGATGGTCTGACCGGGGACGACGCAGGACGTCGGGCGTCAGTATGGTAGCTGAAACCGTTTTTGTTACCTTTCATTACTAAAGAGCCGGTGTGCATTCTTTTGTGCCCGAAGACGGTCTGGTCTGACCATCTGTGTCGGGCGTTAATATGGTTGCGGCCTAACCCAGTGTATCTTGGAGTACAACTTGACAGTAAGCTCAACCTGAAACAACACACCAACAACCTTAGGAAGAAGGCTATGAAGACACTTAATCTCATCCAACGACTAGCCAGTACCAACTGTGGATCAGACAAGAACACCTTGAGAGGCCTCTATAGACCCGGAATGCTTAGCGACGGCGTTGTTCTGCTTCACGACAATGCGACTCCTCACAAGTCTGCACACACCCAAAACCTGATCGCTTCCTTCGGATGGGAACAGTTGAAGCACCCATCGTACAGCCCAGACCTGGCTCCGAGTGACTTTCATCTGTTCCTGCATTTGAAAAAGTTTTTGGCCGGGCAGGACTTCGACTCAGACTCTGATCTCACAGGAGAGACTGGACATTGGCTGACATCGCAGGCGGCAGCTTTCTACGATGCAGGCATTCAGAAGCTCGTCCCACGCTACAACAAATGCCTCAACAGTTCTGGTGACTACATAGAGAAGTAGTTATACATATGAGGTATTAAATAAGAAATAAATCGTTTTGATTGGGAAAATTATTTCTTTTATAATTATTTTAAACCGGTACTTACTTTCTGGACGTCCCTCGTAGATAGTAACAAATGCTGTGACCCATTTTTTATAGCACAAAAGATTTTCAAAGGGTAGCTCTGGGCAACCCATTAAAGAAATAGACCAGAGAGGTAAAGGAAGCAATTTTCACTTACAGCTATGTAAACTTTGTAATTTTCAACAAAAGAAGCCACAATCACCCTCATATATTTTTGATCAAGTACTTTTTTCCTGTGTATGCCAATAAATTTACCCAATTTTATAGTTGGCAGTTTTACCACGTTATATGTTTGGTAATTTTACAATGTTGTATTTTAAGCAGGTAGGGAAAGAGTGAGTATATGAGGGACAGAGGAAGAAAATTGGAGATATCGATTGAGAAAGAGCCTTGAGTTCTGTTGATATAATGCTGAATACATATATAGATATATATATATATATATATATTTCATGTCACAGAAACGGGTGAAAGCATGATGTTATTCTCATCTTATGAAGGTTCAATAAAATATTTCTCTTATAGCCTTATGCAGTATTTTCTGCTAGCTTTCTTTAGCCCTATTTTTACTTTCAGACTTGCAACTGTAAGATCATGGGTTCGAATCTCGTCAGGGGCCCGACATTGTGTCCTTGGGAAAGGCACTTTACACAAATTTTCCTCACCTCACCCAGGTGGGAATGGGTATCTAGCTATAGACAGTGAAAAATCTTTTCAGTTTGTTAGTGTTTGAGCGCTTAATCAGCTGCTTGCACTGTATGCTTCCCGGGAGACTGAGAATGTTTCCTAGTGTTCTGTGGTCTGCTGGGGTAATAATATAGTGTAAAGCACAAAGAGCGTGCTGTCGATCGGGGATTTGTGCTCTACAAATACTATTTATTATTATATTATTACTTTTGTCTCCACAGACGACCCAAATTGGAATCCAGCCACAGACGCTCAGGCCGTGGACCGAGCATTCCGCATTGGCCAGGAGAAGAATGTGGTGGTGTATCGCCTGATCACATGTGGCACCGTGGAGGAGAAAATATACCGCCGCCAGGTCTTCAAAGACAGCATCACCCAGCAGACCACTGGAGCCTCTGCCAACCCTTACAGGTTTGTGTGTGTATGTGCGGGGAGGGGGGTTACGGAACTTAAATTTTACTTTTACTCTTTTATCCTTTGATGCAGTTTTCTATGGTAGGTAAGCCAACTCTGCAGCTCTTTCAACTGAGATGTTATAGTTTCTCGGGTTCGTATAATGAAAAATGAATAAATAAATTTCACTTCTGTTGATCCAGTTGAAAAATTTGGTTTACAGTAGCACTTACTATACACAGGAGTGATGGGAATAGGGTTCGATGTATTCTGTTTGATTTGGCGCATTACAGTGTTCAGGGTCTGGTGTCTGTGGTGAAGTGGTTAGGCGCTTTGCTGTCGCATGCAGGAGACCTGAGTTCGATTCCTAAGTGTGGATAGAATTTTATCGGGTATCTCAGCCTTTTTGCTGGGATATTTGTATCCCTCTCAGCCCGATAGGCTGGGTCGGAAGCCCGCCTCTTAAATAGTCTAAATTATGTTGATGGGAGCAAAAAACGAAAAAAAATTCACATTGTTTTTAAAAAAGGAGAATGGTCAATTGGATTTCAGCACTGAAGAAGTTGAAACAGTTACACACGTGGTGCACCTGGTTATGTCTCCAGGTACTTCACGAAGATGGAGCTGAAGGAGCTGTTCTCCTTGGACGACCCGACCTTCTCCAAGACGCAGCAGCAACTGCAGGAGATGCACGGCAGTCAGAGACAGTCAGACACACAGCTTGACGAGCACATCGCATTCCTGCACTCTCTCAGTAAGAGGCCGGTCACCTCCGCGTTTCTTCTCTTCTTCCTTCTGTGGGTGGTTGGCGGGTGCTCCAGTGTGAATTTTTCCTTCTTTCCTATTAAACATCTATCGTCCTTATCTCTCGGATGGTTGGTGGGTTCTCCATTGTGATTTGCTCCTTCTTTCCTATCAAACCTCTATCATCCTTATGTCTCCTTTTTTTGTGTGTGTTACTGTCTTGTAACACCTCTCATCTTTGGCACTTACTTGACCTTATTGAGTTGCAAGTGCCATAAAACTTGAGCAAAAACTAAACATTCTTCCAACTCTGTTCTTTGTCCTCATTCTTAATTCATTCTCTGGCCTATCAGTCCTGGTGTTACCATTCTGCCCAAAGACAGACGTGCCCTCTGTGTTTTGAAGTGGCTTATATGTCAACTTCAAGTGTGACCTTCCTTTACATGTAATTATCCCACGATATTCCAATAAAATTGGACAAGTTAGAACTGCATAACATCGATTTGAAAAGCATCTATTGAGTTTGTTAAGTCTAGTACTTGTAAGTGACCATCACTTGGATCCCTATCCACAAGGCAGATGTGTTTGTGTTTTGAAGTGTTTTGTTTCACATTTGAATCTTACCTTTCTTTACAGCGTGTAGTTGTCCCATGATAATTCAGTAGTTTGACATGTTTGAACTGCATTATGACATCGATTTGGAAAGCATCTGTTGAGTTTGTCAAGTCTAGTAACTGACCGTAACTCAGACCCCTGTTCATAGTGGCCATCTGTCTGTAACAGTCTCTTTTCTCTGTGATCTCGAGTTATCGTTGCGGACATGTCCGACACTGTATCTATTTAATTGTTCTGTTGTCTTTTTTTGCTCTCAATGTAGACATATTTGGCATCAGCGATCATGACCTGATGTTCAAACAGACGACAGTCCGCGACGATGAGGAGGACGATGACGTCCAAGAAATGAACAACATTGAAGAGAATAATGCACAATTTATCAACTACAGGGTAAGCTCACCGGGAAGAGAAAGCGCCATTTTAACTCTGTGTTGGCCACAGAGAATAATGGGTAAATTTTGACTGTGTCTCTTCTAAGAAAATATTTGCCTTTGCTACGGTTTGTTACTTTAACCCTAGCAAATCATTTTAATTATAATGGACTTTACACATCCTCCAACAGCCACAATGGAAGCCTTTTCAATAGGGCATGACCATGAAAATTTTGGGTTAGAAAAGCACAGTGTGTTTTGAAATGCATTTATATGAGCCAAAACATAATGCTGCAAATGGACAATTATACTTACATGTATGATTCTATAAACCGGTTGTGGTGAAGACAGAAAGTGCCACGGAATTTCTGTCTTGTTTTTTTCCCCCCTTTTTTTCCCTTGTTTTTTTCTTAATCTACTTGACTCCAGGTGTCTCCTGTTGTCTTCCTCTCACTCCTTTATCACCCATAACGTTCTTCAGAATTTTTTTCCTGTTGGTTCTTGCTTTTCATTCTTACTTTGTTGACGTTAAATGGTATTTGTTTTAACTTTCGCGACTTGCAGAAACAAAAGGCACAGCAGCTGATTGCGGAGGAATCCAACATCCCCATTTCGTACGAGGAGAGGTCAAAGGGTGTCATGAGATACCCGCCGACAGCCGGGCGTGTGCCACCTCCATCAAACGCAGGAGTTCCCGCTCCCAGTGGGCTTTTCACTACAGGTGAGTGAGGCAGTGAAATACAAGGTAATTCATTGTCCCTGGAATTGATTTCCACGTTTTGACGGAATTGATTTTTTTTCCCCCGACTCATCTTGACCACTTTAACAACATGTGCTTTGACTTAAAGCAAATAAGGGACCTAGATATAAAGGCAAAGGAGTGTAGCTTCCTTTAGAGAAACTTCACATAAAGTTCAATTCGCCTTCATAGCTGTTCAGATGGAAAAAAACAACCCAAAAACTCATTACATCTGTATGCATCACACAGGCCCCTGGAAGTGGTCGCTTGTCATTTTTTAAAGAAGTTGTGGCCACTCAAGTTTAGTGAGTTAAAAATACAACTTTATAGTTGATGCTGTACCTACCCCGGAAGGTAGACTCACCTAAGGAGAGGAGAACAGCATGGATCGGTCTTTAGTGAGCTATGGTGTGCATACATACTGGATTTAATAAAATTATTGTGGGCTCCAGCTTGAAATCGCTATTTTCATACTGATTTGTCAAAAATTACAATTTGGAGAGTGCTCACTTTTATGTCACATCTTGATATTTATGTTTAATTACACCATCAGCTCACTTTCTCATGATTCAGGTCTTCAAGGTGTAGCAGTTAGATGCTTAGCTGTCGCACACAGACCTGAGTTCAATTCCAGAGTGGGGATAAATTTTTAGAAAGTGTCTTGGTCTTTTGACTGAAATGCTGTATCCGTCTTAGCCCTGGTTGGTCCTCACAGGCAGAATCGAAAGCCTGCCTCCTAAATAATCTAAATTGTGTGTAGGGGACATAACACATACATTAAAAAAGTTTACCAAATTGACATTTGAAAATTGATTTGTGTTCATGACGAAGTCAATTATGTTCTGAATTATGGGAATATTTCTTTTTCTTTTTCACAGTTGGAACTTCATCAAACAACGTAGTGCAAGTATCTGATGATGATGGTGGTGGTGATGATGATGATGATGTCATTGATATTACTGAGGTGTGTGTGTTCAAATTTTATTTGGAAATATAATGTTTCAAATTCTCCAAAATATCAGTGATTTTTCCAGTACTCAGTATAGTTAAATCCAGTTAAAAATAAAATTATAAAATAGCTGATATCATATTTATGAGTACAGTTTATGCACTGAATTCCAGAACCCTTTGTATGGACTGATAGCTCTTGTCCTGCGTCTGCTGAGATGCGAATCTTATCAGCAACCGATCACATCAGACATTCCGGGCAGGCCGGCGGGGTCACTCAGTGTGTACTGTTGGTGTAGAGCGTGCGCGCCTGGAAACGTGTGCAATACCGTGGGAGTGTGTTAATCGATGATGAAAATAACGCTCTGTCTTTTACAGCTTTCTGTTTGTAAAGTGTTACGAACACATGAATAACCCCCTCTCTTAAGCTGATAAGACATTATGAATAGTTGCACCCATTCGAATAACCTTTTTAGACGCTCTTGTTGTTATGAATGACCTGGGGTTCGAAAGGTATAGGTCAATTTCCTAATGTTTTGCCCTCAAATTGTTCTTTTCACCTGCACAATAGTATTCAAAACTATCAAACAAGCTTATTTTTTATCGGGTAGTATCATTTCATACAAAATGAAGCTCATTTGAAAGATTTTGTATAGAAAAATGGAAGTCTTGTTTCCTGACTATCCTTTTGAGCTCCTCATGTCTAGAGTGAGTCAATTTGTTCTATAATTTCATTCGACGAACATCTAGAGCTACCAACTTTGCATGTTTTCAATGAGACGTATGCCTCAGTCACGAACCAACGCAGGCGGATCTGGAAGAAGGCCACATACGCACACAAACTTAAGCAGACTGACGCACACACACTTGAGTTTCATTATTGCGGATCCGACGCGGGATCTGAATTGAATGGGAGACATAGCTGCCACTTTCCCGCTAAATAGCGGAAACTCCGCTTCATCTTTCTTTTCCCGCTACTTTTCTCTTTCCTCCGCTGGACCGCTCTCAGTCGCAAATTGCGATACTTTTTTTTTTCAACGCGGAAAACACCGAACCGGGAGAGAGACGAAAACGCGGCTTGCGCATGTCCGCCGTAGCTTTCTACTTCCGCTCTTCTTGGCCTAGCGCTAGTTTCACATTGTTTATTGTTGTGGAGCAACACAGTAGTGTCGATGGGAATCGGGGCGTTGGCGCGCCGAGTTGTCATTGAAAACGGCGGAAATTCAAGAGAAATTGATGCAGAAATAAAAGGGGCTGGAATGAGAAAGAAGCAGCCGGTGTTCGACTTGAAAAGCTCATTAGAAAATTGAACAAGCCGCTTGCTGCCCTTTGCGTTTGGTGCCATAAAGTTGCGGCACTCCTGTACAATTGCGGTCCCGTTTGTTTACATGACGGCTATTGTGGCTGTGGAAGTGAATCTAGATCTAGATAATCTATCTCTAGATACATGTATAATCTAGATTCTAGAGCTAGATTAGACAGCCTAGGCTATCATTTTAATTCCGTGTAGATCTCTCAGTAAGAAACACATTATATGGGCACTAAGTGCAAACGGGGTCGCAATTGTAATAGGAGTGCCGAAATCGCTCAGTACTGCGGCAAAGGTGTTGCCTCCTTGATCCAATACTGCTCTAAATCGATGTACAAGTTTAAAGTGAAAGAAATCTTTTTATGAGACACCCTCTGGCAACAAACACTAGATTTTTAGTCACCAAGTCCAAACTGTGTCCAATTGGCTCAAATGCTTGTTAGTCAACTTAGTGCCTTTGTTTGTTTTTTTTTGTTGTTTTTTTTCAAATACATTTTAATTCAGTTGCCTATGGTTAACAAATGTGAGTTTTTCCTGCCAAAACCGTAGGCTAGATTTTCCTGTATATTGCCTCTGGATCTCACTGGTTTTACTCCGGACTTCGGAGAGAGCGCGTACACGCCTTCGCGTGAATTTCCTCCTTTTTTGAAATTACTGAGTGGCAGCTATGGGGAGATAATGCTCGGCGTGGATGCGCCGAGCCAGGGGGCCAGACTGACGCGGGACCAGAATGAAGGCGAGGTGCCGAAATAGGCTTATCGGGCGACATAAACTTGTCCCTGCAGGACGAAGGTTAAGGAGTGACTTGAGAACCCATCTTTAACTCTTTAAGGACGCGCTTCCTGGTCGTTCGATGGCACTTGAAGAATTGCTGTTTTGAAACTTAACTTTGTTATTCATACAGATTTTTCAATTCTGCTTTCTTTATCAGGAACTCAATGTTCAACAACAACATGTGTCCCATGAACTGTTGAAATTGGTGTTCCTGATTTGTGAACAATAGTTTGAAATATTTTGCAAAAGTTGCCTTTGGTCGGCTGCTGGACATGTAAACGTAAAAGTGACTGCAGAAAACCGTGAAATTGCCATGGATTAAATTTCTCATGATTTAACAAAATAATCCCAGTATGAAAACTATATGTCCATATGATATAGCATCATTATTTAAAGAGGGGTCAAAGCGAAATTTAAGATTCCAGCATCTGGAGCTGGATGTCTTTCCTCTTCTAATTGATTGTGTTGCATAACTTTGCTTTTTTCTCCCTTATCCAGGCAATGGAGTTGGATTCCGATTCGCCAACTAACCAAGGGACAGAGCGTCGTGTCCTGCAGCCTTTGTCAGCAGAGGAGGTTCGCTATCGCTCTCCACAAGTCCCAACAAAGGGGCATATAGTCAAAGAAGAAATTCTTATCTCCCCTGATGGTCGTAGCCCTCTCGTTGGACTGGAGAAGTCGTTGCTGCGAAAAAAGATGCTGGAGGAAGCCAGCAGCAGCAACGCTTCCTCCCCAGTGAAAGCCAAGCTGGCAGAATTGAATTCTCCTACATCCAGCCCCGGTAAGAACAAATTTGCGATGTTCAGCCCTATCAAGAAGCAGTCACCGTCCAGGTCAGGGAGACTGACACCGAAACTGCTGCCAGTGTCGTCGAAAAATACGTTGACATCAACGCCAAATTTACCGCCTTCGCTTAAAGTGATCGCCTCCTCGCCTGACTATGACTCAAAGTTGTCGTCGAGTTTAAAGATGGGACACAGAGGTGCAGGGTTTGGCGCGGAGTCGGGTGAGATGATGAGCTCCACTCCTCACACAGAGGAGGTTTTAGTGCCAGAAACCCCTGACAGTGCACCGGTCGCACAACGCTCGTCGGTCACTTCACCTTCACAGCGCTCACTTCAAGAAGACCCAATGGACGTGTCTTCCGCCTGTCGCAAACTTTCCTTCATTGCTATGGACACGACTTCAAACAGCCCCGTGTCTGGTCTTCCCGCAGTTGGGGAGGACAAAACGGTTTACTCACCGCAAGCTAAGAAACACAAAATTTTATCCAACCCATCATCTTCAAACAATTCACCGCTGAAACTTTCAGAAAGTGAAACCGGACTGAAGGATTTACTCAAAGGGTCTCCTCGTGTTCAGTCTGACAATGACATAAGGGACTTAAGCTCAGCCTCAAGGGCGTTGTTCAAAGGTTCGGAATCTCCCAACAAAAGTAAAAGTAAGAAACGGCGCAGCGTGTGCGTCAGCAGGCTAAATATTTCTGATAGTGATGAGGAGAAGGATTCTAATGAAAGGGAAATCTCTGATGAAGAGAACAAAGAGAACGATAACTGTGGCGACCAAGACGACGAGGAAGAAGAGGAGGAGGATGTAAATAAGGAGGAAGATGAAGGTAAAGACAAAGAGAACTGCCCTGAGGTACGCTCAGTGGGAGGGAGGAATATCATCATCTCCGACAGCGAGTCTGACGGCGGCTCGTGCTTCGAGGTGGAAGACAGCACCGATGATGAGGCTGGGGGGCAGAGCTTGGCTGAAGAGGAAGGTAAATTGATGATACTGGCTATTGGTGGAAGTGTCCAAAATAAGTGTTTGTGTAGGGATTTATTTATCTGCACCTTGTTGAATGGTGAAAAGGGCAGCCTTAACAAATTGTGGTTGGTTAACGAGTGCTTTGATTTTGTTCCTTTTTTCTCAAGCATCCGTCGTTCTCATCTCTAATTCTTTTCTTTGTTCTCTTGTCTAATTCTTTTCTTTGTATGTTATTATTTGGTCGCTTTTAAGCACAAGGAGGCTATCCTGATAAATGCTGTTTTGAGAAAATCGAAGTCAAAGTTTTTGGATCCTTTTTCAGTCTCTTTCAAAGACAAGGAGAGTTTTCTCAATAACCAAACAAATATACACGCCAATGACACTAAACTTTAATTATAGGTAGGGCAATGCCCACTTTTGGTGTAGGTCAAGATTTCTGGAAACCCCCATAATCTGGGTTAGTCTGCTTGTCCTTAAAGGAGGCCATTTAGTAATTCTTAATGTTCAGCACTTATTTTTTCATGACCTATAAGGCTATTTATGTTGCAAGTATCATAAAACTCTTAGCTTTAAAAACTAAAAAGTCTTTCAAGTTAAAGGTTTAATGTGTTCGGTTTTGTTGTGTGTCCCCTGAGTTGAAGACTGGCATAACATCACAGAGACCCTCCATACAACTCTGTTCATTCCAAATTGCCTTGTTGGTCACCCATGGGGAACGTGTAACATTGCGTCTTGTTAGCAGCATACCACAATCATTCCCGTAATCCATCTCTACCCATTACCAAGGACCCATTTGCTGCTGGATGTACTGAAGAATATAGGAGTAAAATTTAATATCTTTCTTAACCCAATGGAGCCAGGATATTAGAGCTCACAACTTTTTTCCACTGCAAGTTCGACATGAGAATTTTTCTGGCTTGTCTGTTCATTGAATTTTTGTCAGCACTTTTTTTTTCTTTTCTTTTCTTTTCTTCTATTCCACAAGGGTGCCTGATTGCTCATGAGCCACTATCAATTGTAAACTTTTTTTCTTCTGATTGCCCACAACTCATTTGCGTGCAGTGCAGAGAGAAATGAAAGAAATTGGGGGAAAAATGTTCAGCTAAAGGTCTTCACTGAACAGCCAACTGGTTGTACTGAACATTTTCTTGGTTTTGTTTTATTTCTAAGCAAAAGCTTTATCATTTTAAAAAAATAATTTTTTCTTTATTTTTTTCTGTTTTAGAATCTGATAATGATGAAGAGGAAGTGGCTGAAGACCCCGAGGACAATGAAGAATTTCAGAACCTGATCTTGATTGCCAAGTAAGTTTAGCATCAGTCTCAGGGGGTACTGCCTTAAGTGCTGAATATCATGAGGGTGGGTCCAAAAGTAATACATTCTAGCTGCCCAAATTCTTTTCTGAACGAGAAAACCGTCGGTGTTATTCATCACCATATTGCAAAAGATCCCCATGCCTCCATACAAGAACCTAGTGACATGTCTTAACTTTCATTTGGGTCAAGGAGGGGCACACTATACACACCATGTGCAAACATTGTTGTAGCATCCCTTGTAAGGCCTGTTTATGACTGCTTGCTGGGGAAAATGGAAAGATGAGGCACTGACTCACTGACCGTGGCACTTGCCAGCAACAGACTGAGAATGGGATGGGGAAGGGGAGTGAGCGATTGGGAGTGGGGGTAGGGAGGTGATGCATAGCGTGCGAGACGCTCACGTCTGTGAGGCACTTTACTGTGTTGGAGTATACACTGTAGGCCTTACATGACCTACTAAAGCTTGGAGTGTCGAATAGGCTACTTGGCGGGTATGCAGACTTAATGTAGAACTAATGCGTTGACCGTTAGCATGGCTTTTTCCCCCCATTTATGTTCGTGGGCTTTGCCAGGTACCATGGAAGCATGTCGATAAAGCAAAGTGGGCCGGAAAAAGTCAATATTTATAAGAAAAATTATTTAATGAAGATATTGAAGGGAAAATTTCGTAATTGGAAAATATGTCGATATATGGCAAAATGTCAATACATCGGCTGTCGATATAAGTGGATTATACTGTAATCAGATGCTTTACTCATTGTCCCCTCAGGCAGTTGTACAAGCAGAAGTCGTACAGCCAGTCGCTGGAGTACCAGGAGAAGGCTCTGGCCATGTTTGCTCTGCCTGAACTTCAGGCGATGGCGGACAAGACGCGGCTGAGAGCTGCACAGCAAAAGCTGGAAGAGGAACAGATGGACTGATGCGTGGACGAAACAATTACAGTTATTGTTGTTGTTTATCTAGCTGCTTCTTTTTCATGTCCTCGATGGAAATTGCAGTTGCCTGGACGATTGCAGTGATCATCTGAATTTCTTCTTCGTTTTCCATGTGATCTGTTTAGTTCTAATGACCAGTATGTTGCTATTTTTTTCTTGGAACCGACATCTTGAACAGGTGATAAATATGTCACATCTAGTTTCCAGTACAATGGGGGGCTAGGGTTGGTGCAGTAGTCCTTGGGCCTAACACCAGGTTGCAGATGGTAGAAGTTGTTTCCTATTTTCCTTCCTATTATAGTAAGTATTGGAATTCTAATTTTCTTTTTCTTTTGGTTGAGGGTGGTAGGAAGAAGCAGGGATACTTGAAGTAACACAGGTCCAGCTCATGACTAGCATGCCCCTTTTTCGTAGCTTTCTATAGAAATACTCGTCAATAATTATCTTGAGGCCTGAATTACTGAATTACAAAATAGCCCCCGAAAATTTGTTATACTTCTGAAGTTCAATCATGTGCAGTCTAAGCACACATACAGAGGGCTCAACTTCCAACACTGAAGCGCTGGATAAGGGCAAAGTTATAGTCATCACAGTTTCCAGAAATAGAGAAAAGTTCATTACTTTTGAATTCCTGGGATGACAGCAAGTACTGAAATAATGTCCAGTATTCAGCGGAATGATGTTGTTGTATTGAGGTATGTTCCTTAGACTTAGATATAACCTTTTCAGTATATTATTTTATCCTAATATGTGCAAAGCAAATTTTTACTGTTATTTGTGCTGATTTGATGTGAACTAACTACAATGTCCCAAAATATGCATAGTTTTGTATTGTTTTGTTTTTTTGTTGTTGTTTGGGGGGCGGGGGTGATAACTTTACAGTGATTTTTCAGAGAATTCTTTCTCCTTTGTGGCTGGATGAGTTCTTGTTTTTTGGGGGGCATTGGAAAATGTATCTGATTCTGTGGGCTGCAGAAAACAAACTCGTTAGTTTGTTTGTCTTGAGGTTATTTGTTGTAGCATTGTATGAATGAATCATGATGCCCTCTAAATTGAAATTAAAACCCTTTGACAATTCTGTCTGTATTTCTTGCTTTTCCCCAGCACTGTTGTCTTGTAGATGTTTCTTCTCTTCAGACTGAATTGGGTGGTTGGTCGGTGCTCTGGTGTGGTTTACCCCTTCTTTGTAGGGCCTACCTGTTTTCCTTATCCCTCCTCCTAATCTTTTTTTTCTTTGTATGATACTCTTTAGTAATATACCTAATCTTCATCTTTCATATGACCTTTTGGTGTTGCAAGTGTCCTAAAACACTCACTACAACTCAACTGAGGCTAAATAATATCATTATCTTCAGATCGCTTTTTTCTTTTGAGTGGGTGGTTGACGGGTGCTCTGGTGTGGTTTGCTCCTTCCTTCCTGTCAAAGATCTATCGTCCTTATCTTTCCTCCTTTTCTTTTTTTGTTATTCTCTTGTAACACCTCTAATCTTCAGCACTTATATGACCTTTTAGTTTTACTGTTGCATGTGCCTTAAAAGTCTTACTAAAACTTTTTTAGTGTTTTTGGTTTGCAGGCACTGCAACTCTGCTCCGACATTTTTTCCAGGCTACTGTCATCCTGGCAATTGGTTGGAGGATAATACTGATAAATCCTATTTCTTTCTCTTCTTCTCTTCTGCTGTTTCTTTCTGCCTGTCTTGTTTTGTTATTTTTTTCTAACACTTGATGATCATAAATGTGTTGATGTGCTTCTCTGTACTTAAAATAAAAACTAAACTTTTCCTACTATGTTCCTCAACACGTGTGACTTATTACGCAGACTAGCAAAAAGCAACTTCATTAAGCAATGATTTGTGATTATTACTTTTTGAATTGATTGATAGCACACACCCCATGGGTTAGATCATAGCTCTGATGATGGGTGGGGACTTGTTTATCATTGTGGTGACCATATTTCAAGATTTTTGTTGCATGATTGCTTCTTTGATATATTATTTGACAGGCTTTATGACAAAATGTGTGATACAATATCTGCAATATTTGAATTTTCACATCTAGATATATTTCCGGGGGCTCTCGTGGCCTAGAGATTAAGGTGTTCGCCTCCCATTCAAAGGTCCCGGGTTCGAATCCGGGTAGAGACTGAAAAATTTTCTTCTCTAAAATTGTCTCCTTTCACTTCCGTTCTTGCTCTCTAGCAATGTTCTGTTGTCTGCTTTCGTTTCCCCCTTTATTCTCCTCCTCTGGGCTCCTGACTCTTTCTGCAGCCTTTCTTCTGCTACTCTTTGGCTCCTTCTTACTACTGTCTTTCAGTCACACCCCTGATCTTCTGGTAAGAAAGATCTACACCTAGCCTTCTCAGACAAGGGCGAAAAATCTGGTAGGGCCCATGAGCAAGTTGTACACGTTAAAGATCTCTTGGTGGTCTAAAATCGATAAAAGTAGGCGTCGGCCAAGACCCGGGCAAAATTCAAAATTTCCTTCCAACTGAAAAAGTTTAATGTGTCCCGCCCTCATATGACCTTATGCAGCTGCGAGCGCCTTACCAACAAAAAAAAAGATATATTTCCTTTTAGGTCTTATTCTTGAACTCTTAATTTTTACTGTTTTAAATTTGAAGATATTTTGTCACAAAATGTGCTGTTACCAATGATTTTATGTTGCTTCGATTCAGTTCTTTGTAACGACATACAGATTGTTGAAAATTTTGAACATTCAATGATTCATTTTGTTTTTAGATATAGCCTATATGAATAATATAGATCTAATCTAAAGCATTTTGTCATAAAGCCTTTTATGTTTCCTGTAAATAATGTCATTGAGAAAAAGTGCTTTCAAATTACCAATATTTCTATTAAGCGTCACATTTTGTGCAATTTGATTGTTGTTGGTTTTTTTGTGATAGCGTCTATTATGAAGATAAATCTCGACAATGATTTATTAAGATTGTCATTTTATGTAGTACAAGTATCAAGTATGTAGGTTAATCAAATTTTGATGTCCACATAGCTATGAACATACATGTGTTTTTAAATAGGCTGATGCTATTCACCCTATCTCGGGTGGCTAGCATCAGGCTACTCGACCGAATACTGGCCCGTGGGGATTTCTGCGACCGCAGGTAGCATTTTCATGCCCACCCGCTGCCAGTCACCTAGATCTAGTCTTAGTCTTATACGGGGTGCCCACTACGGCTGGATCGGGCCGATCGCCCGACTCGATTGCCTGAAACTGAAAACAAACAAGTGTTTTCGAGTCGGGCGATCGGCCAATCCCATCCGTTGTGGGCACCCCCGTATTAGGCAGCGTAAAACGGCCTTGCTGCCTTCCGAGCGACCTGTGTGATTGGCCCAAAATAGATCATAGGTCTAGATGATATTTTTTCCGTCATTTATTTTTGTCGTCTTCCGAGATTTCCCTCTCGAGTTGACTAGATCCCTAGATCTATCACCTTTTATTATTTATTATTATCATTCATTGGAATGCCGGTGACAAAGTTACTAACAATAGAAATGTAGTGTCGTGATGATATCAAAGATTGTCTAACTACTACCAAGATGTTTCAATTTGCCAAGTCTCAGGTCCGAATGAGACTTGGGCACTAGATCTACCTCGTCTTAGTCTTAGTGTGTGATGGCCCATGATACGAGTGTAAACGCTGAGTTGAAAGCGAGAAATTTTGTCCGTCGAGCAGAGAGAGAAAGGGGGGGGGGTTTGTTATTAGAACTACTATCGTTTTCTCTCTGTGTCGGTTCACAAGCTGACCCGGTGCAATGCAGTCATTATTTTATTCATTATGGCCAGTCCCATCTTCATACATAACATGTATTATAATAATATGTCAATTTGGTCAGATCATTGCAGTCAGAGTCAATCTTTCAGCTTAGAAATGTAATCAGTAACTATCTGACAAGACTATTAGATGAGCCTTTCCTAAAAGTTTGTCTTTCTGAGGTACTGTTCTCTTTAGAGATGTATTCGGGGAGAAAGAGAATGGAAATACAATCATATTTGGTGTCAATAGATCCAGTGATTGCCACTGATAAACTGGGAGAAAAGTTAGGTAGATAGGGGGAAGTCGGTTTAAAAAAAAAAAAAAAAAAATATAAAGAAAAAGCCACATGTATGACATGGCCTGTAATATAACTTAAATAACGCAAACCCCCACCAAACCTTATTTAGGCCACACATAATAGCCAAAATAACCAAACTCGTGTAAAGCGTTGTTTTATTCACATTATTATTTTTTTTTAAACGAACTCTTCACATCCATTTTCCATCACAGCAGTAGATACATGATGTATCTAGAATCAATAATGTAAGGTCCTTTTCTGTGTATCGATCTCATAATCTGCAGTTAAAAACATGTGCCCCCGTCTGTACATGTCTGACTGAATCTGTTAATAAATATGTATTTTCTTTTTCTATTTTAACACATGGACTTTCTTCTACTTGATGCCACTCGTACTCATGAATGCATACAATGACTTGAGGTAGAATAAAGAATAGAATAATGAGCTTGGCTTCATTCTTCAAACCGTACGATTGTAGTTATAACATACTCTTACTTACGGCATGGTCCTCTTCGCCCAAGGAATGTGTATCAAAAACTTTGGCATTAATTTCATAGTTCTAGTTCACCCCTACTGAATGTAGGAGGCCGTTTACGTAAGTTCGTTTATTTTTCTTTTTAAAAAAAACGGTGGGCGTTTTTTCAGTTTGCTGTAGAGGGGGAATCAAACTTCGTTGAATGTGGGTTCTTCATCAGTATTGTACGAAAAGGATTTAGGCCTTTCCCGAAGGGGGGACATTTCTCGTTCAAGCACAGTAGAATTGTAAATGGGCTGATTCATCATGTCACGCTCATAACTGTGCCTGATCTGCAACAGGGAACTGCTGCTTTTTCTTTCCTAATCTTTACTATCGTCATTTTCCTCTACTTCTTTTGTATGTTTGTCACTCTTGTGACCTGTTATTTCCAGGGGGCCTTGATGGTAGAAGCAGACCTTGTGCTGTTGAAGCTAGAGAGGTGAGCAGAGTAAGTCTGATTCCCTGTAAGGACTTTTCTGTTGACACCCGCCCCTTGGCGCTCATATGACCTTATGCAGTTGCTAGCGCCGTAAAACCCTCTACTATATAAAAAAAAAACAATATATAAATACATGTATATAAAACATAGTAGGCCAACAAGTATTTATGCCTTCACACCGCCAAATGTCCAAGCTGTACACTCCCAAAGTAAATTTGCCGCGCCATACCGACAGCGAACTGACTGCCAGAGAGGTACACACTGCACACGACGCACAACACCCAACTTGACCGTCTTTCTCCCATGAGAGAGAGAGACTGAGGGAAGGAGAGATAGACAGACAGAAAGAGAGACAGTGACAGAGAGAGACAGGCTAGGCTAATCGACCGAATTCGTTTCCCCGGAACGTGCGCAGAAATCCCCACGGGCAGTAGCGTCTGGCTGATCGACCGAATTTGGTCGAGTAGCCTGACGCTAGCCATCCGAGATTGGGCGACTAGCCACTCCATTTTAAATATTCCCTTTCTTCTTCTTAACACACACAAACACTCACACACGCACACACACACGCACACACACTCAATCTTTAAATACTGCTGCTGTTTGTTCCGTACAGTATTTGAATGACGTCAAAAACATTTTTGGATGCTTATATTATATAATGTCAATAAGGTCTAGATCTAGGGGTATAGAGCGAGTCTGTGCACACATTGTTTTTTCTATGGATTTATATGACAAGTGCTCTGTGTGTCAATGGTGTATTATATTTACCGTGGAAAGTCTCTTTGAACATTTTTAAAACTGAGAGTATTTATATGAGGAATGGAATATAAGTATATGTTATTTCTTGGAACTGATATTTGCTCGCCTTGTGCAGTTAATTTAACAATTGTCTCATTCTTGTTTTGCTTCTATCTCATAGGGAGACTCAGTGGGAAGATGTATCATCGGCCAGCTGGTCAAGTGTACTAAGCCCGATATTTTGAAAACTTTGTTTTTATTACGTTTTCTTTTCTGTGGTATTCATGTATGGTCATAATTCAAACTCTTAAAAACGTTTGGTTTTTTTAAAAGCAAGAACAGATACAATGGTGGTACTATTTGTTAAAGAAATTGAAACAGTTGGGCCTTTTTTTTTTGTCTCCTGAAAAAAATATTGCTTTCTGGGCGTAGGACATTTGAACGGCTTGCTGACAATAATTATTATTACTTTGTAAATGACTATTCTGCCGAAAGCTGACAAACTGCCTTTTTTTTTTTTTCATTTTGGCCCCAAATTTTTAATTTGCAAAATCAAAAGCCTGATCACCTACTTATGTGAAAAAATCAAACTGAAACTGTGACTGGTTTTTATTTTAAATAAACTCGAGGTC